TGCTGCGAGAGGCCATTGAAATTAAAAAACATCCTAATTTCAACAGGGAAGATGGTTTCTCCGTACCGCCAGTTTGGGATCCAGTATTTCCTCTAATGAAAAATCCCAAACAGACATAAGACTGCAGTACTAATTAATATGTTTTAGTTTATTTTAATTTCCATTAATAATTAATAAAAAATCCTTCGATAAAATAATTTGTAAAACTTAATATAGCGTAAATTGGAATGTTTTCATTGTAAAATTAAAAATAAGGTATTTAATTAATAACTATTGTAACTATAGTGAAAAAATAGGGTGGTTTGCATCAATATTAGATATAACTGGTTGAAGACTGTACCACCTCAGTCAACCGTGACCATGGGACCTGTAAAGGGCCCGAAACGTCGGTTTGTTTGAAAAAACAAATATACGCGATTTAAATCCGGAAAAATAGTTTCATTTCCTATAGGTATAAGGAGTTTGCTATGTTCATGTATATAAATTGTTTTTTTTTTTATGTTTGTTTGTTTGTTTGCACTGTCAATCTTATGTCAATAAACGTTTTATCTATCTATTTATTTAGATCCGAAAAAATAGTCTCACTTGCAATCGCGAAAGTGTAAGTAACCTATAATGCTCTTGATGAAGATTAACTTTGATGACAATTGACGATAGAACAGGCGTAAATGATATGGTTGTACGATATGACATTATTAAAATACGGAACGTGTCGCTACGCTATCGCATAAGAGATACGGGTTTATCTAGTACTACCATTCAACTTAATATTATGTTTAATACACAATATGGCCCCAACCATCTATTGCGGCGGCACTGACGACGTTGCTATACGTGACACGACTTCGTTACTCCACAAAGTCTGCGGATATTGTGGAATACATACGTATGAAAGCCAACGCTTAATAACTTTAAAATGCTTAATAAATTAACTGGCTCCGTGGTCGAACGGTTACCGTGCCGGACTGCCACGCAGAGCTCTATTCCCGGGCCGGGAGAAATTTATTTCTCTCATGAGTTTGGGTGTAATTTGTGGTTGTCTGTGTGTCCTTGGCACCCGCGACACAGGGTTTCCATAGTGCGGGGCTACGTTGAGCGTGTGCGTTATTGTGATTATTATTACTAAAAAAGTGGTGCACTGAGGGTCGAGCGGTTGGAGTCCCGCCACAATGTGAATTTTAATTTTGTGGTGAGAATACCAAGTCAACATCTGTACTTCATGAAGGACTTTTGTTCGGTCATGTTCCGGCGTTTCCGAGGACGGTTACCAGACACCCATATTGCGTTACACGTCGCGATCCATACGTGTAAATAAATAGTGTTAGTGTGTTATTATATTACTATGTATGTGGGAGCTCGCCCTGGATCACTAAAAGATTCACGGACGAAAGAAGTGTGTGGCACGTGTTCAATTGCGTACGAGGCACCGGCAACGAAGCGTGTTGAAATAAAAGAAGTTATGAGTATATTACAACGATTACGACTTGAGCATGCCTAAAGACGGCAAAGAAAGACGCAGGAGTCGGCAGGACGATTACGAAGGCGAATGGCGCGAGAGAGCATAAGACGTTTGGTACAATTTGCGATTGAAAATATAAAATAATAATAATAATAATAAAATAATTAGTTTCCCCGTGAATTTGTTTTTATTTTAGAGCCACCACCGGACATGTACGTTAGTCTATAAGGTACATATTTATGGGTATTTTGTAACCTGAACATTAATAAATAAAACATAAAATAAATATTGTTAATAATTTATAATTGAAATCACACATTCATACGTACATTAGCAGCAGTAGAGCTCCTCGTGAAAGAGTCCGTCCAGGGAAGTACTGTCACCTTACCTATTTCTGCTGTCAAGCAGTAATGTGAGCATTACTACATAAATGGAGTGACTTCTTTGGGTTCTCCGGTAAAAATAGGTGTTCCGCAGGGCTCAATACTTGGACCTTTCTTATTTCTGATTTATATTAATGATCTGCCATTCTTTGTTAAGGGCCATTGCGAAATAGTATTGTTTGCTGATGACACATCCTTGATTTTTAAAACAGACAGACATGACATTAACTATGACCATACTAATGATACCCTCTCTAAGGTAGTTTATTGGTTTAATGCTAACAATTTATTGCTTAATGCCAAGAAGACAAAATGTGTTAAATTTGAATTACCTAACGTAAAATCGACTAGTCCAAGCATAGAAATAAACGGATAAAAGTTAGACCTTGTTAATAAAAGTCTTCTTGGGAGTGACCTTAGATAGTAAACTTCAATGGTTTCCACATGTATCTTCCCTGGCCAGCAGATTAAGCTCCGCTGCATACGCAGTCCGCATAATACGTGAGCTTACCGATGTTAGTACTATACTAGTACTTTAGTTACTTCCATGGTATAATGTCCTACGGGATTCTCATGTGGGGTAAAGCGGCAGATATTCAAACCATATTTGTATTGGAAAAACGAGCGATTCGTTCTGTGTACCGTCTAGGCTCTCGGGTTTCTCTCAGAGAAAAGTTTAAGGAGACTGGCATCACAGTACATTTACTCAAATATTTTATATGCCCGTAAAAATATACATAATTTCAATAACAAAGAAGATATCCATAATATTAACCTTAGAGCTAAGTCCAAACTCATGGTACCACGATTTCGTTTAACCAAGGTAAACAACTCTTTTATGGGGAACTGTATACGTTTTTACGATAAGATTCCGGAGTATATAATAAGTTTATCATTTCCTAAGTTTAAAAACTACATTAAAAATATTTTGATCGAAAAATCATATTACAAAATTGAAGACTACGTGTTAGATAAAGATGTATGGAAAGACGACACGGCTCCAGAATCCACACAAATTTGATTCAAAGTGTATTCCATAGCATTTAAGTTTATTTGAAATGAGCAATCCCTAGAGTTTCTTGGTCGTTCTTCTCAGGGAGGTCAGCGTAGTGAACGAGCAGTAGCTTAAATGTGACGTTTTCAAGTGTAAATTTATTTTACCTATGGAAGAAATAATCTTTGACTTTGACTTTGACATTACTGCGTTTCGGTTTTCGGCAAGGGTGCTAGTGAAATTACAGAGACTTGGCAACTACACAAACTGTAATATTCACATTGTTATATTTTTAAATCTAAATGGATTTATTAACATACTTTGTCGTTACCGTTACTTAAATAACACTTTCATAAGACTAGTTAACTTAACTTGAAAGTCAGGCTACAGATAACCTTTTGAGATAACAGTATCAAGTCACAAATTGTAATGCAAACTTTTAGAAATAAGACACCCAAAAGTTTTGTAAGAGTCGCAAATATATTATTATTTATATACATAAAGGAAGGATTTTAGAAGCTGATTTTTTTTTTTTTATTAAACCAAATGACGAGACGAACAAGTCGTTCGCCTGGTGGTAAGCGACACAACTGTCAGTTAGAGTGCTACTCAGAACTTTAATTCACAAAGATCTCAGGGGTATTGCCACTGCGCCCGTCACCCTGAGACATTAGTTGACAAGTCTCTTGAGCCTATAATTTCACCAGCACCCTTATTATTAAAACCGAAACGCAGTAATGCTCATGTTATCGTTTGGCGGCATAAATAGGTAATTCAAAATCCATTGGAGACACTATTGTTAATTTTTGACGTCAGTATTCGGATTCTTGGAAGATAGAATTCGTTCGCAAAACAACGTGATTCCTTAAGGTGAAATGGAAAACGATTAATTTCAAACAAGGTACCTTCGTTTTCGATTTTTATTCTAATATGCAACAGTCCTTACAATTATATCACTTTTATAATCAACCACGTGCTTGTCTAGGAGGATGCATTCGGTGAAGTATCCAATATGGCAGAGGCAAAGTAGTGTTCATTTTTTATTTGTCTCCCGCCTATTTCATATCGTCGTAGGCAGTATTGCCATACTAATGAATGTAATATTGTCACAAATGATATCGTGGTTGGGTAGGTTATGGAATGTGTGATATACTCGTATGAACGCAAAGAAATTCATAGCATGATATTTAAACTTTTGCCTTTTATAGAAATAAAATATATACTCTCTTACTGCAAAATGAGCTCATAATTCCCTCACGTACTTATTTCGGAACACGTGAGGCAATTCTATTGAAATATCTTTAATATTAAACGAACGACACTGTTGTTCCCGTAGATGAACGTAGTAAAAATGAAAATTTTGCAAAAAATTGCGATATTTTTATCGAGCGAAGTTTAGTCAAGTGTTTCATAGCACCACATTTCACTACCGGTATCTTTTATTTTCATTATCAATTAAAAAAACAAGTATAGAATTAGTATATTTAAAGTTGAAAAACCGATTTTCCGTGTGGTCTCAATACGTGAAAAGGTCTATTTTGGGCGGTTTGCGCATCACTTTTCATAGTGTCGCCATCTCTGTGGTCAGGGGTTCGATCCCTGATCGGATCAATGCAGAAAAACTAACTTTTTAATGTTGTCCCGGGCCTGGATTGTGATGGTTTGTGGTACCGTCGTAGGTTTACGAAATGGGTGGCGAAATATTTAAGATTTCTCATAGATGGCGCTACGGCTAAAAAGTCGTTGAAAAAACCATATACACAGACACGACAACAAACACATAGAAAAATTCGTGAGGTCCACTAGTTCGTTCCGTGGCTTAGTTGGTATAGCGTCTGGCACGGTATGCTAGAAGACGTCGGTTCGAATTCGGCCAGATCGAAGGAATTTTTTCTGAGTGTTCAATCTTTGTTACTTACCTGGGGAACGAAGCAACGTATGTGAAGTTGTCTAATATTAATTGTTTATTTATTGACTTAATAAAATAATAATAATCACGCACACACTCATAGGGTCGTATTACAGAACTCTGCTCAATGCTCAAGTCAGGATCTGAGTATGATTTCAAGCACTGGAAATACGACCCTAATGGCAGGGACTTGAGTATGATTTCGAGTGCTTTAAACCATACTCAATTCCTGCTTGAGCTTGGAGTAGAGTTCTAGAATACGACCCATAGCCCCGCACTAGGCGAATAATTGATTGATGACCCTGTATCGCGGGTGCATGGACACACCTATAGACAACCACAAATTACACCCAAACTCACGAGAGAAGGTGTAGGCCTTAGAAATGTTTCTCCCCGCCCGGGAATCGAACCCGAGACCTCTGCGTAGGAGTGAAGCGTGGTAGCCGTTCGGCCCGGAGGCAGTCCGCCCAGTTGACAATAGCTGACCTTGGCGACGAGCATGTCGGAGAGCTTCCCCTTGGGCTCGTCCTTGGGCAGCGCGTGCGCGTGCGCAGCGCCGCGCGCCGAGCGCCGCAGCGGGGCGGCTTCGGGCGCGCCCTCGCGCAGCTCCTGCTCCGAGTTCCTCAGCAGCCTGCCACAAGTTGTCGCTCGTTAACCGTTGCCGGCCATTCATTCGTCTTACAGCTCTAAGGAAGAGGCTACCCGACAAGGAATATACTGAGCGGCCACGGCCATAGGACACGAAGTACATTCCACTTTAAGCATTGTAGAGAGGATATTTTGCTTCTTGGATGCGTTATTTTATTTTAAAAATAAGTACCTCATCTAGGAATCGGATCAAATGTGAAAACTCTTATTACGAGTCAGTTTAGGACCTAAAATGAATCGTAGTGAGACAGCGCTACATGAAGTGAATATCGCCATCCCCCTTTTTTGTCGTTACTAACTGAACTATAATAAGAGTTCCTGGTAAGACCCCAGTAATATTAATTCATTCTCGAACTAATGTTACGTACACCTGCCCACATTGTGAGAAAAATCTTGTTGGCATTATTCCGTATGCAGCGCGACATAGCTGTTACGTAAACTGTCACTCCCCCCGCACCGCGCTGCTACCTAAGGAACCAACTCAGTTGAGCTGTTGGCCTTAGTATTTTAATTTAAAAAAAAAACGTTCAATTATAAAGGGCTTATTTTATTCCTAAAAGTAACAACGTTTATCATACAGTTACTCACCTAGTTATTTGGAATATTCCTTGCTGAATTATAGTATCCAGTTCAGTCTCCATTTCTCGCACCAACTTTACATCCGGGAACATGTCTGGGAATCTATAGCTGCAAAAACAAACATTTTCACTTTTAATTTATAGATAATATGCAATATATTTTTTTAATAATATCAGGTGACGGGACGATCAAGTCGTGCGCCTGATGGTAAGCGACACGCCTGTCCATAACAGTTGCAGTGCCACTCATAGCTTTAAATCACAAAGATCTGAGAGGTACTGCCACTGCGCCCGTCACCCTGAATTACATGAAGTTGACAAGTCCCATGTGCCTGTAATTTCACCAGCACCCTTGCCCTTCTAAACCGGAACACAGTAATGCTAACATTACTGCATGGGGGCAGAAATTGGTAAGGTGGTAGTACTTCCTTGGGCGAACTTTTCACAATGAGCTCTACTGCTGCTAAAAATATACTCTATATATAGATATAGATTTTTTTTTAAGACTTTCGTGGTTATTCACTAAATGATTATCACTAGTAACAGGTTTCTTACCACGGTATAACCCGTGACCATGGAGCGTGCAACCGTTCCGAAATATCGGGAAAATAAAAAGAAGTTATACCGTGGTAAGAAACCTGTTACTAGTGATAATCTATATATAGATACTCTATGTCGTCTTGAGTCCGTATGTTTGTATTACCGTTGTTGTTTCCGAATTCCATTAGACAAGTTACTTACTTTCAGATCAAAGTAACGTGTGTGATGTTGTTTATTATTTATTTATTTAATCTTAAAACCGCATAACACACAGCCATTGTTTATTTTCAGTTCTCTGCAAATCGATACCTCCAATTAACATACACCAACTTCATTTTTGATTATTTTTTGTTTTATTTCCTATTTTTTTACAAAAATCAGTTCCTTTATTTATTTTTTTTCCAATTTTGTTTCTTTATTTTTGCACAAAATTCGAGGAGCACAATATTAGTAAATAAATAGTTTTAGAAATAAGCAGTTTATATTAAAAACAGAAACTGTTCAAAAATGAAATTGGCGTAGTGTCGATAGGAGATATCGACATAATGTATTTAGTGTAGTGTAGTAGTGTAATAATTACCTCAGCCACAAGTAAAGCTCCAGCACGTCGAAGACCGCCTCCAGGTGCACCAGGTCCATGATGGTCTTGGGCGCGGGCAGCGGCCAGTCCACGGCCACGCACATCCAGTGCTTCGTGATTGGCTCGTTGCGGCTGTACTGCCGGACCATCTGATATAAATTCACTGTCTATTACCAACAGAGAACAATATAGACAAATTATAATATGAAGTTTATTGACTATTACGATATTTTACTACCACGCAAATACAAGTACAAAAATTCTTTTTTGCCACAATTTTGATACTTTTTGGACATAAATAACGTGTTAAGCCAGACAATAAACGGTACGCTAAACATGTCAGAGGGCAAAAGGTGCCGTCTAATTTGGTTAAGTACTACTTATTTGACAGTTTCGGATGGATGTCGGACGCAGGACGAAAGTAGACCTCCCCCTGAAGCCACAGGAGTGTGTCGAACCGGCTCGGAAACGCAAACAGAAAGTACTAATTTGATTTTTTTATATTTAATTTAAATACTTTGCCAAATCTACGGCCGGAATTCTAGCCTAGAAAATGTGTAATAGTGAAAAAAATATTATCTATTATATATATACATTACCTAAAGAAACCCGGTATTGAATAGTATGACTAGGTATTTCTGTTTAATTGAGATTTTTGGTAAAACAAATCCAGTAGTTTTGTTACGATTATGAATGTTATGATCGAACACACAGAAAAATTTCGTTAACCCGGTGGGATTTGAACCCGCGTCCATGCTGCACCGTACCAACCATCTGAGCCAAGGGTCCAATTACCGAGTCGTCGAAATCCTTGTTTTTTTTGTTATAGATCTATGTACTGGCTTTCGGCATTCGTCGCCGCTTGTGACATCTAGTGAGCGTTTTTAGAATTACCTTCTCAAAATAACACTAGTTTTGTTATGATACAATACAAATACAATACAAAAATTCTTTATTGTACACCAAAAAAGGAAACAAATACAATACAATTAAATTAAAAATAAGCGGTGGTACAATGGGCGGTCTTATCGCTTTAAGCGATTTCTGCCAGACAACCTTTGGATGGAAGTAATTATATAATTCATAGGAAAAAGACGGTGGTGTATGAAGAATTACTAAATCAACAGATAAAAATTGATAAATAAATACAAATATACATATATTTATAAATAAATAATAAAACCAATACATATATATGAATATCGTAAACTACTATATATTCTCATACTTATAAATATAAAAATTTCTAAAACTTAATTTCAAAACATAAAAATACCTAAGCAGTCCAGGTCACACTAAATTAAGGTAGTGTACTTTAACCATATTTTTGAATATATTCAATGATTTCGCTTGTTGAATAGACAAAGGTAAAGCGTTCCACAAACGAATAGCCTGAACAGTAAAGGACTTGTCGTAATACTGGGAGGTATGCAATGGCATCTTAAGTTGGAGAGTTGAAGAAGAGCGCAGAAGTCGGGGGTTGTATTGATGGGCGAATTCAAATCGCTCCTTAAGATAAGGTGGTGTGTGAAGAATGAATAAGATGCCATAGAGAAGATTAAGAATATGAGCATTCCGGCGAAGTCTAATGGGTAACCACTTCAGCTCATTGCGATAAATGGAAACATGATCAAATTTCCTCAGACCATAAATGAAACGGATGCAAAAGTTTTGTAGACGTCCGAGTTTGTTGAGCTGTTCTTCGGTTAAATCCAGATAGCAGGCATCAGCATAAGCAAGAATTGGAAGAAGAGTTTGGGCAAGCGCAGTTTTCGTGGCAATAGGTAAAAAATTACGTAACCGTCTGAGAGATGCGGCAGACGCAAACAATTTGCGGCTGGTCTCAACTAATTGAGGTGCCCAAGATAGCTGCCTATCAATAAGTATACCTAGATTTTTAACATTGTCACTAATTTTAATGTAGGTGTCGTCTATAATAACCTGCGGCAAGCGAAACCAATCTATCTTGGATACCATTCTAGAGCTGCCAATAATAATCATTTGCGTTTTCGTTGCGTTCAGCTTAAGACCAAATTGTTTACTCCACGTCGAAATATGACGGAGATCATTATTGATTACCTCAATGGCTTCGTGCAGGTTTTCAAGTTGCCGGTGAGTGTAAATTTGTAAATCATCTGCATACAGGTGGTAGGATGAGGTAAGACTGCGGGAAATTGAATTAATAAAGATCGAGAAGAGAAGAGGAGATAAAACGCCGCCCTGTGGAACGCCAGCATTAATGTCACACCAACAAGAGAACCTCTCATCAATGCGAACACACTGTCGACGCCCATGCAGGTAACTATGAAACCAAGAGATTACCGTTGGAGATATGTTAAGAGTGCGTAAAAGTGCAATCAAAATGTCAAAATCAACGTTGTTGAAAGCATTGCTGAAATCAAGCAATGACATTACAGTGAGTTGCTGTTGCGACATACTATACCTAATGTCATCAGTGATCCTAACAAGAGCAGTCACAGTGCTGTGTCCTGGTCGGAAGCCGGATTGAAAGGGATTAAGAAGGTTGTTACGTATGAGAAAAGGAGTAATTTGGTTATAAACTAGTCGCTCTAGCAGCTTTGATAGAAAGGGAAGTATAGAAATAGGTCGGAAATCAGAAAAGTTAGATGGATTGGCTTTTTTGGGAAGAGGAGTAATGAGAGCTTCCTTCCAAAGGGAAGGAAATGCTCCGCTGCTGATAGAAAAATTAAGAATATACCGGATCACAGGTAAAATCTCATCAACTATGAATAAAAACATTTTACGACCAATATGGTCACTGCCAACAGCATTGGACGAAATAGATTCTATGCCCTTCTTAACATCACAATCAGTAAACTCTTTTAAAGAAAACGGAGGATGGTCGGCAGTTGGAAGCGTGGAAAGATAATTTAAGGTAGATGTTTTAGTCGACCCGTCGAAGGCAACGGAATTAGAGAAATGATGATTAAGAGCATCAAGGTTTAAATTTTTTGGGAAACTATCTTGACGTGACTTACCAACTCCCAGCGACCTAAGAAACTTCCAGACTTTAGCCGGATCATCAGTTTCTAAAGAACTATGAATATGTCGGCGTTGTCCATCCCTACACAACCTATTGCAGTGATTACGACGCTCATTATACTTGCGTTTATTCTCGTCTGTAGGACTGTACTTAAATCTGGCCTTAGCTGTGAGCTTTTTATTCATAGCAGTCCTAACATTCTGGTCTAACCAAGGTGCAGGGAGGTGTTTCATTTTAACTGGCCGTACTGGTGCATGTTTATCGTAAAGATTCATCAATGTGTTGTTAAACTCGGACACTTTGCTATCTATTGGTATAGCATTCACAACGTTACCCCAGTCAATTTCACGAGCATTACTTCGCAAACAGTCCAAATCAATTCCACGAAAATTGCGCTGCAGAAGAATTTTGGGTTTAGCCTTGGGTGGGCGGATTTTGTAGGAAAGATAAATCAAGTCATGATAAGAAAAAGCGTCCGCAGCGCACTGACCATGTTTACTAACGAAGTTCAAAGATGACACAATTATTAAGTCAAGAAGTGAAGGAGTTGAGTTGGGAAAATTATGTGTAGCATTAAGTGGAAGAATGGTCATATTGTTAGCCATTATAAGAGATTCAAAACAAGAAGAACGACTATCTCGTTTGAGAAGGCAAGTATTAAAGTCACCCATAATTATGCTATGTTCATAGGAAGGCGAGAAGTCCTCTAATAATTTTTCAAAAGAAGCGAAAAAGTTAATACGAAGAGAGGGACAATAGTAGACACCAAGTAATAGTTTAGTATGAGAAAAGAGAACTTCAATGAAAACATGCTCACCAGCATTGGATAGCGATTGAGAGGATGTGCTAACTATTGAGAATGGTATATGAGATCGTAGATAAATAGCAACGCCACCTCCGCCGCAACCAATGCGATCGTTACGAATTAAGTTAAATCCTGGTAAAGAGTAAGACGAGGACTGAAGGCACGGTTTTAACCAGGATTCAGAGATAAGGATTATGAATAGAAAGATTGAACACACATATTCTATTCGTGATTATACACATTGCCCACATATTCTATTCGTGATTATACACATTGCCGTTAACATACCGCACTCGATAACGTAACATAGTATTATCTCAAAAATTGCGTTATATTAATAATTTTTCACCAAAATTTCGCAATATTTGTATGTCATTCATATACGATTTAATTTCAAAGTGACAGCACAACACTGTTGCTTTGAAATTAAATAGGTAATATTAATATAACTCAAAGCAATTTTGATATAATACTATGTTAGTGGTCATGCGCGTGTTACGGCACATGTGGGAATTCCAGAGACTGGGCGAGAATTCTCCGGAAGCGCGACTTGTTTTTTGGCTCGTATCTAGTTTGTACGTTACACCATAGGCATGAAGTTGATTAAAGCTCGCTTCTATGGCGTTCTGCGGCGATGTGAATTGTGATCAAAAGTATAATATATCACCCTCAGGAACTGTGCGCAGACAAAAGGCAATTTGCTATTGATGGGTGCACAGCAGAAGACGTAACGGGCCCGTAACGGTAACGGCACGTGTTGGATCATCTCGGCGAGGAATTTGAACGCTTCTGTGTTGCACATGAAGTATAACGAGTCGTCCACTGTGCAGAGATGTACGAAAATGTCCTGTTGACAATCGAAATATAAACAATTGTAATACAACTTTTTTTAATCTAATCTTCGTGTTTCGGATGTCATCGAATTTCTATCAATTGCCCTTTGAAGTTGCTTTTTTTTTTCATGATAAAAACTCTGACTTGGTCAGAGCTTAAAATCGCAAAGATCTGAGGGGTACCGCCACTGCACCAGGTACGCTAAGACATAAGTGCCTGTAATTTCACCAGCATTGTTACTAGAGTTGTAACGAATATTCGGTTACTATTCGGTATTCGGCACATTCGGCTTTTTTTTGCTATTCGGCCGAATACCGAACATTGAATCACTGTTCGGCCGAATACCTAAAAGTGGAAGAAACAAGAAAAACTCTGTAAAATATCATGTAACATTTATTAATTAATGCAATTTTCTAAAACATCATAGGAAATGTAACATAAATACTTAAGTTATTTTTAAGTGATCAAAAAAGGCAAAAAACTAAATGCAAACTACCTACTTATAATTGAAGTTTAGTCATCACTAACTAAGTACTTATTATTTGTAAACCAAACTAGAATTAAGTTTTTAAAAGTTAATCAATCTGGGCAAGTCTGCCAATTTTAAATCCTCTGAGTTGTATCGATAGAGTGCAAATGTCAGTATTTTGTATGTACGTTTGGTATTCTGCTAAGAGTTAAGAGTATACAAAACATACAACATCCTGCCATTGACACTATCGGCACACAACTGAGATGACTTAAAATTGGCAGACTTGGGACCCTGAAGTAAAATAAACAAACTTCACTTTCTTCATTCAGATGACATAAATTTAAATTATAAATTTGAAAATTAAATTATATTTTTATTTGTCATCATTGAAGTTAATAAGTGGTAGGTTATGGTAAAATCAACTTTTTTGAATATGCGTTAATCAGGCCGAATAGTTTGGCCGAATATTCGACTATTCGGCCACTCTCCTGGCCGAATATACTATTCGTTTCAACTCTAATTCTTACCCTTCAATTCCGGAACGCAGTAATGCTCATACTACTCCTCTGCGGGAGAAATAGGAAAGGTGGCAGTACTTTCCTGGAAGAACTTTTTCTCAAGAAATTCTACTTCTACTTGGTGCAGGGCACATGAAAAAACAGCTTCAGATTCTAACTTAATTTTTAGTTACATGAAAGAAAAACACTTTATTAAGTCTATATTTTTGTTAACTTGCTATTATAATTGTTAAGGAGTAAATGTTATTACTCGTATTACACAAAAAGGAAATAGGCTCTTCACTTGGAAATCAAAACAAAAATAAGGTCTGTAGTTTTGATCAAACCAACATTCCGCCTTTACAGGTCCCATGGTCACGGTTGACTGAGGTGGTACAGCCATCAACCAGTTATGTCTAATATTAATGCAAACCACCCTATTTTTGTCACTATAGTCACAAAAGTTATTAATTAAATGCCCTATTTTTAATTTTACAAACAAGCATTCCAATTTACGCTACATTGTTTTTCAAATTATTTTATTGTAACAATATTTTATTAATTTTTATTAAGTTAAATTTATTATTAATTATTAATGGAAATTAGGATAAATTAAAACATATTAATGTGTAAATAGTCTGTCTTTTTTGAAGATGGAGTAAAATAACAGTTCATTGCCCAAAAGTGTCGCCCGCTTCCAAGCAGTTAGTGATTGCAGTCGATAAATATTCTATCGACTATCGAAGGAATGTTGGTTACGCTTATGCATTAAGTGCACTCTACATTCTCGTCGAGACATCCCAATCTCAGGTCTCGCCGAGACAGGACGAGATCGAGAGTGGCTCTCCACATTCTCGCCCGCACAGTTGTCCGTTCGGTAGATATACAAGATGGACGTGTTAGATACGTCTGTTGCTGCAGCATTATATGCCATAGCATATTACAATTTTTTGTTAATTCGAGAAAAAAAAACTTATTAAGAGACGTTGGAATAAACGCAGATGGTGGATGACATCAAATCATCGCAACAGAACACTGCGATTACTGCCGGCGAACTGTCGTGACGGGAATGTGGAGGAAAGGGTCTCGCGCGGGGTGTGTTAGTTGTTCCACCTCCACGCGTGCGAAGTTTTTGAGCAGTCTGTGATGACATGTTGTCACAGAATGCCCAAAGATGTAGCCGGTACACCCTGGGGTCAACACTAACAACTCTCGGCTTCGGTCTGAGTCTTACCAGTGAGGGCGCGAAGCGATCAACACTGCCCGGCCATGTGTTTATGAGGGTGGACCATGGCAAGTGATGGGCGGTCTTAATCTACCCCTCTTGCGTTCATGCCTACGCAGTTGAGCGCCGTACGCAGGGATGAAGGAATCCTGGGGGGCTGAGCCCGAGCGGGGTGGGGACCTCGGCAACCAATACGCCCTCTTCGGCCCTGATTTCCTGCTAAACGGCAGCCCTGTGATTAGCCAACACAGGGAAATGACAATGCGTCCCGTCTGAGGGCCACCTAAAGGGGAAACCCAAAAGTGCTCCATCAAGCACAACATTAAATACAGAACAACGCCCTACGGTGAGTGGTAGGTCAAAGGGGAAACCCCAAGACCAACCGCGTACCGATGCCGGTGCTGGCCCAACACCAGCGGTAGTGGCCCGAGCCTCGTGCTCCGTGGTCCCCGCTCAGACACCTGACTCTGCATTGCAGAACACAGCCCTTGAGGCAAGGTGGACTCTGGTGAGTAGCAAGCCCAAAACCACGGCGCCCATCCGCATGGAAGGGGAAAGTGGCCAGGGCAAGCGACCACCTCTAACTCCCAGTGGGAGCAGGGAACGCCCTGCCCGAAAGAACAAACGGGGTCGACTCCGAGAGCGCGAGCGACTTTAAAACGCGAGCAACACCCAGCAGAAGGGGGGAGAGGCGAGGCCCTGGGCCCTGGTTCTGGGACCGCACCAAAGTGGCTCCCTGGACCGGACTCGTAACCCCCTGGAAGGGCCCCCCTCCCTTCTAAGAAGTAAACCGGCGGACAAGGCGGAGAGGTCCTCGATGAGACAATCTCTCCAAGAGGCGAGCACAAGAGGCCCGCCCAGAACAAATCATACGCCGAGCCAAGTAACCGCGAACTCATGGCGGTTATTACCTCGGCCAAAAGTAGATTTATACGGAGCCCCAATGCCGATACCATACAGGAGGCTCTATGTGAGCTCCTCGCTCAAGCTCAGTTTCGAGGAAAATTCGTCTACGGCGATGGGGCCTTGAAACTGTGTCACGACAAGTCCACTTTCCAGTGGCTGGAGGACGCCGTCAGCACCATAAAGCTGCCGACCAGGGAGCCCCTCTCATTGAAAAATGGGGTGGTGGCTCCCCGGAGGGTGGTCTGTGGACTTCTAATCCCCGGCAAATGGGAGGATGCGCGCCGAATCGGTCGCATCCTCAAGTGGTAGAACAAGTGGGCGGAGGCTCACCGTTGGCTTGTCCACAAGCTGAATCAGCAACGTGGGCAAAAGCATACTTTCGTGGTAGTGAGCCTCCCCGAACATCTGGTCTTCACTGTCCTGGGGCATGGCCGGCGCTTCACCTTTCAGTTGGGTACGGTCTACCGGAGATTCAGGTCGAAAAGGGGCCTCTACACTGACGCACCACCAGAGAATGTGGCGTCTACAATACAGGACACAGGACGAATGGACGTTTCCCCGGAGCCCTCTACCTCCTCTGGTGTCACCAGGAAAGGAAAAGGGCCCTCCCCGACCCCTGACCCTGTGGACACCGAAGAATGCCCGGCGGTGTCCATTAGCGACGTCGAGTGTGTGTTGGGGATGGGAGACATCCAATTGAGCGAGGACGAGAACGTGGAGCTACTTTCTGGTGATAGCGGTATCCCCCTCGCTCAATAAACTGCAAGTCGTCCAGAACATCCTCCACCACAGCCAGGCCGCAACGGTTCAGCTCCGGAAGTGGTTGGAGTGGTTGGAGGTAAACAACACAGCCGTGGCGCTGATCCAGGAAACGCGGCTCAGTGCCCGCGGCCAAATAAATGGACTCTCACATCTGAGAGGTAAGCTATTATCCACTACTAGCTCAGATAAACCACGAACATGCATCTACTACTCTAATAAATTATATGTACAGCCACTAACAGAATTCTGTTCCAGAGACCTGTGTGCCGTCAAGCTTTTAGCTGACATGGCCACGGGTCTGCCTGAAGTGGTGCTCGCCTCTGTCTATATGGCGGAGACTGATGTACCACCACCGCAGGAAATGGAACGGCTAATCAAATACTGTGAGAAGAACGGCCAGCACATCGTCGTGACTACTGACTCCAACCTAACCTAACCTAACAGAATACTTATTCACAACTAACCTTCAAATCCTTAATAAAGGTACAGTACCAACCTTCGTAAATAAAAGATGCAGGACGATTATAGACCTAACCCTAGCGTCAGAAGGAGCTGTAAATCTTGTCCAAGACTGGCACGTGTCCGAAGAAGCATCTTTCTCGGACCACAGATATAAGATTCAGCTTAGAAACAGCCATTAAAGAACAACAACCGAAACGGAATCCCCGAAAAACCGATCGTAAACTATACCTGACAAACTACCCCAGAGCCTGGGGGAACCGGTAGCACCGGGAAGACTGCTGGACACAGCACAGATAGAAACACAGGTTAAAGAACTAACATCTAACATATTGAACAGCTATAACTCCGCATGCCCACTGAGTGACTCAGCCCGACAAGGCCAACACTGGTGGGGGCCTAGGCTTGAGAGGCTATGAAGAAGGGTAAGGAGACACTTCAATAGAGCAATGAACACATGCGCGAATAAGGACTGGGAAAACTACAAGACGGCCAAATCCAAACTAAAAAAGCGCATACCGTTCAGGTGCACTGCGTCATGGCGAGGCTACTGCGGGAACATTACGTCTTGTGCACAAGCGAACAGAATAAGGAAAATCCTAGGGAACTCAAATTCAACTGAGTTAGGTTCAATACGCAAAATAGACAACACATACACAACTTCCCCTGCGAAAACGGAGACAACCCTACTGGAAACACATTGTATATTGTACAAAAATACAAAGAGGAGACATGTTTTAAAGTTTATCATTTCAATTTAATATACATAATCAAATTTGCCTGTCGTTTTTAAAATATGTGTATATAATTGAAAACTGATTACGATGGTTGTCAACAAAAATTACACGACTATTTAAATTTTATGAAAACTGGCAACCCTGCAAATGTCATTTTACTCCGCCTTCAACAAAGACAGGCTATACCTTAACCGTCACTGTTAAGCCAAACGCCTACACACATTATGTTTCAATTTTTTAAACCACGCTATCTAATTTGTATGGTACACAACTAGGTAATATAGAGTTCATTAAGCTGTATAAAATTTCAATTCTTCAATATCGGGCAACGTAAATTGAGCCTAAAAATGCAGATAAAACTTACCATTAGACTGCTGAGACTAGCGTGAGGCAGGTGGTACGCGTAAAGTTCCATCTGCTCCGCAGTGGGGTGTAACCCCGCTTGAGTGATTGGTTCGGGCGGTTTGGCCAACAGCGTCTTCAACGTCGGCAGGTCTTCTGGCTTGAACGTTGTGACGTAACCAGTTTCCCATGCACTGCCGTATCTGCCAGCGCGACCTACGAACAATTGATCATATTAAATTCTTAGGGGCTGGAAACGCGCCTTGCTAGGCAAGCGACTTCATCTTCGTATTTATGACACGAGAGTAAACAACTTCTGGTTCAAGAAAACAACGAAATTATGTGATAAACAGAGATGCGGTATCAGCATAGTATATTTACCTAAACTAAAAAAAAATTACGCTTGTGGAGTGACGAACTTATAGCATTATATTTTGTTGTACGTACTTAAAGTGTAACTTAGTAAGTGATTTACTAAGGTACTGTATTTAAAAGAAAAGTTTTGTAATTGTTTTTTTTTTCAATCATTCCGGAATTCCAAATGGAGGTATTATGCAATCTGTGTACAATAATAATAATAAAAATCATTTATGATAGACACTTGGAAGCACAGAATCATAAGTACCGTAAAAATGCTTAGAGGGCGGGTGACGTAAGCCTACATTAGACAGAATGACACATACTTGAGCTCGTAGAAAAATGCCTTGACGAAAATCGTAGAAAATGCCTTATTTTGCTACTTTGGAGTGCAAAAATGATAATTACACCTGTAATATTATCCATGATGGTGTTTCATATCATCGTTGTCTTATTTCATTTTATTATAAAAAAATTTCAATTTTCTGCTTATCGTAATAAACGATTTATTACAAGCAACGAAAGGTAACCTTATACCGCTACAATATAATCGCTTCTTTTTTGGATGACTAAGTTAAACATCTCTCTTTCTTCGTCGTTTAGCTATTGACCGCTAGATGGCAGCACATTGATTGAAACTGCAATATAAAATCAAAACGTAACTTGCCATAATAGGTATTGAATTTTAACGATATGCCAACAAGGTAAAGTTTAAATTGTATTAACAGTACAGAATTTGTAACTTTTTTCTCCATTATCAAGATTTCATAGTGTTTAACATAAGTTTGTGTCAGTTTTGGCGACAGAGGTTCTGCTAGTAATCGAGACTTAAGACGCTTCAATTGTTTTTTCCTTCCGTGCCCAAGCATAGCGTTAGTAACTGGTAAAACAGTATAAATTTATTTCTTAGTACTAAAATAGTACTGTATACTATGTTTATTCCCGTCACTGGTAATAAGGGAATAAATGAAGGGTATGGGAGATTAGACGAAAGTTAAAAGTTACGATAGTGCTCCTTGATTCGTTGAATGAAATGGAAAAAATAACCATAACCTTTCCAAAAACAATCTTATTTCAAGCTTAAAGTAAGTTTATTATAATATTACTCATATTCGTACCATGACGAACGTGATTGAAAGAACGAATGATTTCCCAATATTGTTTATTTCTTACTAAAAATAGGAAAGAGATAACGCTATATGAACTATATAATGCCATCTCTTTCTTTTTTGATGTTCCGAATCGTTTTATCGTAGTATAACGTTTAAGTACTGAATGTTCAGAGAATTTTGACTGTTAAGAAAAGTATGTAATAATAAAATCTATTAAAATTACATTGTTTTCAATAATTATTCTGCATTTTCATGAACAAAAATAAATAAAACGAGCTGAGTTTTGATAGTCACGTTGTGAATTCGGAACTATAGTCTAGTGTCAACTGTTAGTTTCGCCAAATAAGTTCAAGTTAACTTTTAATCATTACAAATCAATATTAAGACAATAAAACTGTAAATAATATTGTTTCCGTTGCATCCGTGTAACTATTTTAAGATTGCTAAATTTGACATAAGAGCGATATTACTTTAATGTTAAAGTCGCGTCATGCCACGAACTGAGTGAATGAACAGTCAGAAAGCTGCCAATAAAACATCATAGTTTTAACATTACAATATGCTTACTTTAAGCGCGTTATGGTACGAAAAGTCAATGTAAGGTTAAAGTAATATTGTTTTAAGAGGTTGTGGTAGGCCCCCTGGACTAAGGGACTCGCCACATTTACGATTCGAGGAATCGCATTAGGCCGACCGAAAAAAGCTTTAAGTCTATGCAATTAGCTTTTTTTCGCTTCAGCTCGGACGACGCTACTTGAAGGCCCTATATTATACAGACAAACCCTCGTTTCGATCGATCGCCATGATAATCGTATCATTCGCCTGGTGTTAAAGTTAATCATTAACGACATGAACATACACCACAATCGATTAGTAGTTTCGATTAGTCTGCAACGATATACCGTGAAGACAATTCGCCCCGTATATGGATGCCTTAACAAGAGTCTTAACTGTTTATGTTATGTAGGCAGCAAACAAGCATAAAGCCCGCCTGATGAAAAGTGGTCACCGTCACCTATGAACGTCTGCAATACCAGGACTCCATGCTGTACTCCAGCGGGAAAACCCCCAGCGGGAGTTCATTCCACAATCTAATTGTACGTGTGAGGAAACCAACTGATACCACCGTCTATGACTATAATTTTGTATTACTTTTCTTTTATTTTAGACTAACTAGTCTCAGGGTCGTATTCCAGAGCTCTACTCAATACTCAAGACCTTGCCATTAGGGTCGTATTTCCAGTGCCTGAAATCATACTCAAGTCTGCTCAAATCCTGACTTGAGTATTGAGTAGAGTTCTAGAATACGACTTTTAGAGTCGTACTCAAGGTAATGCTCAAGTCAGGATTTGAGTATGGTTTAAAGCCCTCGAAATCATACTCAAGTCCCTGCCATTAGAGTCGTATTTCCAGTGCTTGTGTTTCCAGTGCAATCCTGACTTGAGCATCAAGTAGAGTTCTAGAATACGACCCTAAGAGTCGTATTCCAGAACTCTACTCAATACTCAAGTCAGGACTTGAGTATTGCAATGAGCACTGAAAATCATACTCAAGTCCTTACCATTAGGGTCGTATTTCCAGTGCTTGAAATCATACTCAAGTCTGCTCAAGTCCTGACTTGAGCATTGAGTAGATTCTGGAATACGACCCTGAGACAGTCACGGTCAGGTGAACTGTAAAGGTGAACTACTACAATCCATAATTTTACAGATATGCTTGCACGGCCGATGATCATCGACAGCCACACACCGTCCCCGCCCTTTTCATATTAAAAATTACCTAGATACTGGCAGGCAACGAATCGGCTTCCTGCCGTATTTCCGATAAGATCTTAACGATAAATAGTGAAGGTTCGTATGTAAGATAATTATAATAATTGTAAATTTACTTCAATGTATGTTATTAACGTACCAGCTATCTGTAAGGCTTGCGATATACTTATGACATCCATTTCTTTATCACCGTCCTCGTTGACCACAGGTTTTATCAGTGAATAGAAAATAATTCTTCGTATACTCCTGAAAATTTATGAAATTTTAAAAATGGCCGTATTTTCAAGGATTTTCGTGAAATCCTTAATGTTTATTGCTTATTAAAGCTGATAATTGTGTCATAGCACTATGTTGAAATACTTTAAAAAATCATGTACGTATTTCAGATTTCTAAAATTCATATTCTTTAATTATAAAATTGATTCGAAATTCAAACAAACATTTAAAAATAAAGTAAAAATTAAGATCAAAATTACAATCATAAATCATAACCAATATCAAAACCATAGTCATAGTCACAATCAAACTTCAAAAATAATAGTAACAAAATTATATAATAACGCACACACTCAACATAGCCTCGCACTAGGGAAACCCTGTGTCGCGGGTGCCATGGACGCACACGAAACAACCACAAATTATACCCAAACTCACGAGAGAAATAAATGTAGGCCATACAAATATTTCTCCCAGTCCGGGAATCGAACCTGAGACCTCTGCGTGGCAGTCCGGTCATGGAGATATAAAAGTAAAATAAGTTATCAAATTCATAAGGAAACTGATAAACATTTTTTTATGATGTCAAGTGACAAGACGAATAATGTTGCAGTGCCGCTCGAAACTCTAAATCGCAAAGATCTAATAATCTCAGTACAGAGTACTAAAAAAACCGACCTCAAAAGTACGTGGAATTACGTCTATTTGCTAAGTTTTATTGAAATATCCCCTAGTTCGCCACTATACAGGACTTGACACTGGAGATAATAAAAATAGGTTCTCACTACGACACTACTCAAAGTATATTGAGAGAAAAACGCCTTGAATTGGAGAAATAGCAAAATCAACCACTAAAGTAATTGCTCCTAAATTAAAGTTAGGCGCTATTTATAAAAGTGAATCTTCATGCGTGAACAGCCACCCTTCGAGGTGGATGATTTTCTTCAAAATGAAATGGGACCACTATGGAAGTACCCCCTTTCCAACAAAAAAAGAATCATGAAAATCGGTTCACAAATACCGGAGTTATCGTGTAACATATATACAAAAAAAAAGGAAAAAAGAGCATACAGTCGAATTGAGAACCTCCTCCTTTTTTGTAGTCGGTTAAAAAGCACTTTCAATTTTATTAAAGTTGAAAAAACACTTACAAATTGATGCCCAAACCAATGGCGTCTGTAGCTACCATAACCTTGCAAGAACTCTCAGGGTCATTGAACTTATTTGCTTGAGCCAATTTTGTGCCCGGCGGTAGGCTTCCATATATCACAGCGACTTCATGACCTCTACAATCAAAGTAACAATAAACAAGTTGGGAACTGGCAACTTTAGAACATAAACTACCAAGCAAGCGTTAAATCAATATACACTCCCGGACAGGACACCTAATTCAAGCCATTTTCAGCAAGGCATTATCATTCATAACTTTATTATTAAAAAAACCGACAACAAAAGCTCGTGGAATGATATTTGTTTGCCAAGTTTTATTGAAATCAGTTATCGGAAAGTGCGTGAATTCGGATTCATACCCTAGTTCGCTGCCCATAGAGGTGGAATATTTTCTTCAAATTTAAATGGGACTAATAATGAATTACCCTCTTTCCAACAAAAAAAAAAAATCATCAAAATCGGTTCACAAATCGACGCCTCCTACGTAAAGTATCGTATGTCGAAATTGCCAAGTTTACAGGGGAGTGTTTTAAAGTTCTCCGTTTCATTCGGCAAAGCTTGTTACTCACATAGAGTGATCATCTAACCGATATCTAGGATTTTATGATACTCAACGTGTGTTACGAGATTTGCCGAATAAAAGTGAGGAATCTAAAGTCACGTGTTATGCTTATTTCAGTGAATTCAGAACTTTAAAAGACTCCCCTGTAAACTTGGCAATTTTGACATACGATACTTTACGTGGGAGGGGTCGAAATAAGTAAATTAAAAAAAAAATAAGTAATCGCGTAACGTTAATACAAAAAAGTACAGTTGAATTGAGAACTTCCTTCTTTTTTGAAGTCGATTAAAAATGGGAGACGGTCACAACAATTACCTGGTCTCAAAATAGGGAATCCCCTGTGCTATGAGTACCGGAGCACACACAATACAGGGGGCCTACTATGAGCTTATAAGCAGCCAGCCAAGTTTCATGCAATCCACTTGACATGGTAAAACTGAATTGCTTAAATTCGTACCATGACCTACACAAAGTTGAACGGAAATGGCATGACAGGATAATGAGTTTTATTTTTTAAACGTTAATTGTCTCTGCCTGGCTAGCTGACATCTAACAAGAGCGAGATGGAACTACATACTAAATCATATGAAAGAAATAGACAGATATAGCATATCTGTAATATCGGCAACCTTTCAATCGTACTTTACAATTTGTCGTACGACAAAATTACATGTCCAGATTGGCTAACTGACTCACTCAGCAGGTCATTAAGGTAAATTATACATTTTTAATAATTTATATGTATTATTTTTTTAAAACCAATTTGTCAAGTCAATGTGTCAATTAAATTTGTCAAGGTGACCTTAGCAGCTGTCAGTTCGTTATTTCTATACCGTATGCGAAGGTGGTCCGGGTCAAGGTCACCGGTGTATCATGGTTGTATGAGGTAGAAATGATTAAAAACGGTTGGTAGATGACTTAATGTATTGTAGGCTACATTTATAAGGCGAACGGTCATGGAGCGGAATTTCCTACCTGCAACCTTATTCTCTGAACGCTATAACTTGGGCTTTTGAAGGAGAGTGTGAATAGGCATTATTTAGGTATCCATGTCGACCTTATAGTTACTTTATATCAAGTGAGATGGAGGTCGAATGGGCACATATTTTTATATTAAAAAAAGTTGGGAAGCTTATTTATACATATTTGATAGCTGCGTCTTATGCTATCTTAGACTTTTTCATGGTTTCTTTGCTTGCAACAGGACGTGATCGAAATTTGATATTACCAGGTCTTGTGACTGCTCCATTTCTGAAAATCCGACTGTAGCATATTTTCTACAATCGCGACTTATGTGTATGTAAAATTACTTGTACACCAAATGATATTGGATACCTGCCTCAAGGGACTGACCTCTGTTCTATGGCTCGACTTACACTGTAAATGTCGTTCTTATTAAAACACACTATGCAATCTCCTGGTTTCACATTGTCCAGAGAGCCTAGCGCTGAATCCTCTACTTTTAACTCTGTTAGTCTTTTGTATGTGCGAACCTGAAAATAAAGTGACGAACGATATTAATGTAACAATTGAGTACCACAGAAAATGTGATTACAAACAAAAGAACGGAAAATTCAGTTAAACAGAACGGAAAATTATTTATACGTATGGCGCACTCACTATAAGTTTCCGGAACTGGCCACTTACATAAACAATATTTAAAAAGTAATTACAATATTTTAAAATGGAACTATTCGGCTGTAGAATACACTTTGTTTCATTTGACTGTCACTTGTTTTTACATTGTTTTTACGTTATTTTAGAAATTGATTGTCTACATGACCATGGATTTAACTCGAGACAATTTTCGTAGGAAGATTTTCTACAATATAAGTGTAATTTAACAGCTCAGCGGAACTTCGCTCGGCTTCAAACTGCTTTTGGTGATGAAGCACCATGCAAAACGACTATTTATAGCTGGTTTGCAGAATTCAAACGCGGTCGTGTGAACCTCAGTGACGAATTTCGTGATTTTTGTTGCAACAAAAACGTCGATGCTGTGCGCCGTATGATCAAAACAGACAGGCATGTGACATACCATGAGATGCGGGCATCTTCAGGCATAGGCATGAGTCAAATACAATCAATACTACACAAACATTTGGGTGTGAAAAAGCTGTGCTCTCGGTGGATCCTACACAATTTGACTGAGGCTCAAAAAACGGATCGCGTCAATTGGTGCAATGCCATGCTTACCAGATTCAACAAAGAGAAGTCAAATTTGGTGTGGGACATAGCAACAGGTGACGAAACATGCATTTATAGTTACGATCCCAAAACAAAGCAGCAATCGAGAGTATGGGTCTTTCGAGATGAGCCGAAACCAACCAAAGTGGCGCGCGTGCAAAGTGCTTCTAAGCGGATGATTGCTTCTTTTTTTAATAAAACTGGACACGTGGCTACTGTTGCTTTGGAGAATTGTTGTCCCGTGAATAGTGATTGGTATACGACCATTTGTTTGCCAGAAGTTGTTGACAATCTCCGCAAAAGTTATGCCAGCTCTCATACGGCCAGACAGACAAATGAATTTTTGATTTATTAATTTATTTCCAAAAATTAAGAACCAGTTACGCGGTCAACGATTTTCATCACCTAAAGAGGCTGTCAAAGAGTATGAAAAATATGTTTCAGAGATTGTCACGGAGGAGTGGAATGTTTTCGAAATTAGTTCAGTCATATGTAAAAGTGCATTAACGCTATTGGAGAATATTTTGAGAAACAATAAATTCATTTCTGACCATTTATAGTATTTTTTTCTTATTAATTCCGGACACTTATAGTGTGCCTCATGAATGTATTCATTATTATTTCTAATAAATATGAAATGCACTCATTTGAAATGCATCTAAGAATATGTTGAATCCCTTTAGCATTTATACATTATGCAGTAAATTCTAAAGTTTAAGTTATTTCCACAATAAGATGAGATACATATTTTGCTTTGGGGTTATGCAACCGACACTAATAGAATCATTGTTCTGCACAAGCGTGCTGTTAAGGCAATTTGCAAAAAGTAGAACAAAGAGTGTCTGTGAGAGATAATTTTAAGGAAATTAACATTCATACCTTAGTGTTACAGTACATTTATGAAAATGCATGTTAAGAATACCAGAAAATTAATTGAAGATAAATATATTGTTGTATATTAGTACAAGAAACTAAAATAAATTGACTGTTATAAGTCTTTATACAGATTCTGCTTACTTGGATGATAAAAATCCATGGGTTGCTCCATTTACACCTTTAACTTTTTCAAGTAGTTTCTACCTATGATATTTTAGAATAAATATTGTAAATGATAAATGTGAACAAACATTTATTTACATAGGAGTAACCCGTAGAGTTTGCTACTCATTGTTCTCAGGGGAATCTATGTTACGGGTGAGTTCAATCAATTTGCCAAAGTGTAATTTGCTTACATATGTTTTTAATTTGAATTGTGTGTATGTTTTGTCTGTTTTTGTTTGTCTGTGTGTGTGCGTCTATCAAAAGGACTATATTATTAATATTAGCTTACAAACCTTGTAACAAATCGATATGTTGCATTTTTGCGATAGCCAGAATTACAATCCAGAAGTACAAGGTATACTTCTGGATTTAACTACATACATTCTCTTCTACATAGATATATACTTACTTCCATTTCCTCCCCAGTTGTGTTGCATATTTCCTCAATGAGATTTATTGCACCAGCTTCACCGCATAAATGTAGTTCCTCTGCTTGCAAGCCTGAAAGTTTTCAAAAGCTATTAATTACATATGGGACATACACTGTTTTATCACTATATTAACAGATTATTTCATTATATAAAATTGGCCATTTATGTAGCAAATGTAAACGTGTAGAGGTCAACCTCGGTGTATATCCCTCAACAAGATTGAGAATTATGTTCTCATAAAAAGCTAGGTTAAAAGTAACAAGAGTAAAAGGAGGTGCATGAAATTTATCTTGCGAGTGGTGGACGTAAGACAGTTCCAGAGTATAGTATCCGCCCGCTCTAAGATACAGGAGGGACGGATATGTGTGTATAAACATAAAAACAACTTTATGTCATGCCAAGTAAATACTTACTTAAAAAGAGTGTGGGACCCAGATTATTGCGAACTAGGTGTAAGTTAAATAATTATTTTTAAAATGTATTTTTTATAACTACCTAAAATTGCTCTTGTCCAGGCCCATCCTCTACCTCGGTCTCCAATCATTTGTATTTCATCTATAATAGCTACTTCATCTGTAATGAAAATTAAATCATGGTTAACTATGTTCTCTTAATGTCACCTTTTGTTAAATGAATGAAACACATATATTTTATTGCGCTTTAAAATTACAATGGCAGTACAGAATTGTAATGTAAGTATCAGAGAATAAGCTAACATACAAATTGCCTTACAGCTAATTAACCATTTCTCCCAAACACTATAATATAAACATCTCCATCATACAACACTTGGGTCGAGTCCACCCCTGTGGATCAACGAACTGACAGGCACCAAAAGGAGGTTTGACTCGCAATTTTGAATCTCCGTCAATCTAACAGAGATTCTCAGATGTCCTGTCTGTAGTCTCGTGGTCGGTTGTATATAGAGTACCTTTGCTATCTGCATGTCTGCTACACAACAAACACTATAAACTTAATGGTACTGTGGGAAATAATGCTCTCAGCGAGTCTAGAGAGTATAGAATAGATGAAGTGGCCCGTCTTAAACCTGATGTCCTACAGTGTTCTAGCTGCAGGATGACAGAGCAAAATAGATTAGTATGAAAATCCTACTTACATTGATTATTAAGAGAAGTCATTTCAACAGTACAAGCCACATGACTTGATGGAGTGAGCTCAGTCTCTTGAATCAATAATGACACATTTTCAGGTAATGGTTCGGTATCCTCCATATTTGTTAATGTGGTGTACTGAGATGCGTGTCTTCTTTCTTCACCTGTTATTAGGTCGCAGGCTGTACCCTACCACAAGATGTAAAAAACATGAGATTTATTTCAACTTTAATCTATTTTCAATTTAACAGAGATAAAATGCTATAACTTATTTTATGAGATGCTGTAACTTATTTTATAACTTATTTTATGAGATGCTGTAACTTATTTTATGAGGTCAGATTACCTACCATTAATATTCCAAATGCTCTTAAAATAAATAGATATAAACATTATGACCAAATCTGTTACTGATAACTTTGAATACTGCAGCTGATAACATGTTTTATGACAAGCAAATATTTACGCTAATCCATCATCACTACTAGAAGAATTTTGACATATAGACTAATAAGTAAATATTAAGTTATCTTACATATTAGTGTAGATTAGTTCCCTTTCCTTGAAAACGTTTTATGGAACTACATACATAATCATCAACAACATATTCCTGTGCCAATATCTGGACATGAGTGTCTGCTAAAGAAAAACTTTAATCCATAGTGCATAATAGTGCACTGAATTAGGGCTAGACACATTGTCTAGACAGTGAACCTTCTTAATTACAAGTTTCATTGTGAAGTCTCCTTCACCAATAGTCAGATGCACAAAATGAGCCACCCCTACGACATACCTTTTCTGTACCCTGACGCATTGAGGGCAACAATCGGCTAGTACCTTACTCCGATTGGCAATTCCTTTCAATCAATATGGTAAGGAGTATAATAAAAGGTATATAGATACTACATATACACAGGGGTACGTAAGATGAGTTAAAGTCAATTCAAGTTTTAAGTAGCAGTAGAGCTCCTTGTGAAAGAGTTTATCCAGGGTAGTACTTCCACCTTACCTGTTTCTGCCACCAACCGGTAATATCCGAATTACTGTGTTCCGGTTTTGAAGGGCAAGGGTGCTGGTGAAATTACAGGCACATGGGACTCGTCAACTTATGTCTCAGGGTGACGGGCGCAGTGACAGTGCCCCTCAAATCTTTACGATTTAAAGCTCTGAGTGGCACTGCAACTGTTATGGACAGGCGTGTAGCTTACCATCAGGTGCACGACTTGTTCGTCCTGTCACTTGATATAAAAAAAAATTAAGGAGCAACCTTCCATTGAGCTACAAGCACTTGATGATTCTAATTATGTACACCAGGTTTTTAACCCATAGATCTGTCAAGATAAAACCTCACATTTTTGTTAGATTTATGGTAGATTTCAGTTGCTAGCAACTTCAAGGGGCCACAGTAGACACCAGACTTTGCTTCCAGAAACCGCTCCATGGCATGGTAAGTCTTCCCTGAATTTGTAGGTCCTGCATGAAATACTATTTTCCTGTTCATACTCCTTGCTTCAGGATACCTGAAAATTTAATAAAATCAAAATAAAACTTTTAAGAGTGTGGAAATCCAATGAGAGAACAACTTCAATTTCTAAACTATGTAAAGATTTAAAACCCTTTGTGACATCTCCAACTTGCATTGAACCAGTCTGGTGGACTATAACCAAAGCCAGAGGGTTTATAACACACATGATGGTGATGAAAGTAAAATGTTAAATGAAGGGTTAGTGTGTAGATTGACACAACTAAGTATCCAATATTCACTACACGTAATAAATAAACAATATCTCATTTGCTGTTATTTTGTGTAATATAGTGCAACTTGCCAATTTGCAGGAGTCCTGAGATCAGATATTTTCTTCAAGTCATCTAGACAGTCCAAATGCGGGAATGCTAACCGGGCATGCCTAAGGAAGTAAGGAAAGAGGTCATCCACATGTCCGGCATCTGAAATGCAATATTCATAACGCTTTATAGCTTAAAATATAGGCATCACCACACTTATTAGCGGGGAATCAGTGGTCACAGCAGAAGAGAAATACACATCTGTTTCACTCTTATTGCATGGATATAAAGCTTTTTTCAACCGACTTAAAGTGATTCCGCGTTGGGAAGTGCTATGGCTGATTAAACGAAAAACATTATTGCACTATATTAACAAATACTAACTTTGTAAAATATCACTAATTGTTATGTGTAAATCAGGCGGCAGATCATGTTCCAAACAGTGTCGTCTAAATGATAGGAAAGCCTGGTGCAGTAACTGATCGTCTAAGCCGTTCTCTGCTGCCAATAAACGAACTTCAGATTTTTGATAAAATTTGTTGAGAATTTTTAACAAATCTTGTTTCTTCAATCGGCCTGTGAACTCTTCTCCGATGTTTATGTCATCAGGATTCGGTTTCACCGGCACAGGCACGAATAACGCTGAGGAGCCCCCTCGGTCATGCTTCTTTCCCCTTTTGATAACATAACCTATGCATTCAAATTTTCCTCTGGAAGTACACAGCACATTGCTTCGTAGAAGAGTCGAGACGCACGGGTGTAATTTGTCTACACAATATAAAGCCAATATTCTTGTAAAACCCTTGTACATTTTGAAACAAAAAAGAAAATTGACTAAAAATTTTACAGTAACTTCTGTCACATTTTTGTAGTGATTGCAGGAAAGACTAGTGATGATCCTAACTCATTTTCAAGTTTTGCTTTGAGTGATTTCGTTGCTTAAAAATAAATCCTATAAATAAACAAATACCATCTTGTATTTGTAGTTTGTGACAAATACATAGTTAACTGACTATAGTCATGAAAAGAAAATAAATCAACAGTATCAATAATACCTATGTTTTTCCGTTATGGAGAATTGTAATTGTACATATTATCACTTTCTACAATTGAGCGTCTTAAAATGGCGTGTTAACACAGGGCTGATAGCCGCTTTCAGCAGACTATTTCACCTTGCCAAGGGAGGCACAGTCGACTCACTGTTTTCACTGAGTCGGCTGTCGCCTCTTTGGTACACAGACTGCCGCATTCGCCGAAATCACCAAATCGTATTATTGGAGAAAATTGTTCACAGGTGAGACTGAAATTGAAACAACAGACCTATGTATTTATATTCCAGGCAGAGCTATCATTGTCACTGATTTCATGCGGTTCTCACCCTCACCGGCGGATGGGGTGCACGTACAATACCCTCCTTATTTTCCAGATAAGTACCGGAGCCGTAAGCAAGCTCACTTCCCGTTGTGCATAGCACAACCAACGATTGCCACCGCTAAGCCATTGACTCTAAAGTCCTCTACCAAATCTACTCTTTGACGACGGAGCTGTAGACACGCTCACCTCCCTACGCCGAAGCGTCTCTCCAGTTTCCATGAACCTACGCGGCTGGAAGGACCGAGTAATGTCTAGCTCATCCTACTCTACTACATCTACTAGCTCTCCGGGTTAGTACCGAAGATGTCAATAGCTGTGTCTTGTGACAATGTCCGGACATAGCTTTCAACTTAAGGGGCACGTGTCCCGCACGTCTCTTCGCCTTAGACATTCGTCTAGACTGCTACTAAGATGCGTTGGCTGCGATAAGACAGACGCCCCGGGTACACACCACCGGAGCAGATGACATGTAGCCCGTAGTCTCCCCGGAACTCTCTATTTCTCGAGTCAGTAAACAACTGTCTTTTCAACCAATGTATCCTACGAACTATGACATATAGTGAGCTAATCAGTACAGAGTATTAAAAACCACCACCCTTAGAGGTGAAATATTTTCTTTAAATTTAAATTGCACCACTACTAGGGTACCCTCTTATCAACAAAAAGAAAAAAAATCATCAAAATCGGTACACAAATGAGAGCGTTATCGAGTAACATGCATACAAAAAAAAAACAAAAAACATACAATCGAATTCAAAACCTACCATACAGCTTAGTAGGGGTGAAAGGAGGCTAATACCCAGCAGTATGTATTTATGTGTCTATGGTTGATGGACCTAGTAGTTCCGCGATGAGCGAGTTCGGGCGGAAGGATAGACGTTCTTTGTGCTTAGTTTTATGTTAGTCGATCTCATTAGCTACCGGTAGCACGTTCAGGTAATCATGGATCTCTTCATTCCGAGTGAACCAATGGGTATTGACTATTGTCCTTAGTGTTGTGTAAAGTTCATTATGCTATGTACAATATCATTACAAAATGTCGCTTCCATTCCGTTCCGCCGCAATATAAATTGAGCCTGAGTAGCAAATTAGAAGTTTGTCGTCTACTGACAATGTTGAATTCCTTCCCATGAGCCAATGTAGGTAACGATATTTGAGAGTGACTTGTCTCTTTTCCATTTTATATTTTTTTTATAATATCAAGTGACAGGACGAACATGTCGTGCATCTAATCCATGTCAACCTGTCCATGACAGTTGCAGTGCCACTCAAAACTTATAATCGCAAAGATCTGAGGGGTACTGCCGCTGCGCCCGGTACCCTGAGACATAAGTCGATAAGTCCCATGTGCTTGTAATTTCACCAGCACCCTTACCCTTCAAAACCGGAACGCAATAATGCTGTCATTACTGCTTGGCGGTAGAAATATGTAAGGTGGCAGTACTTGCCTGGACGAACTCTTTCACAAGGAGCTCTATTGCTACTAAATGTGATGATTCCATGTGAAAATGTCAGTCCAGGTGAAAACCAAGACACTTCACACAGTCAGAATGTGGTAATATTTCATTGCCAAGTCTTACTGGATAATAATTTTCTTTTCTCAGTGCAAATGTGATATGACGAGATTTGGTGACACTGGTCCGGGTACACCATTTACAGAACAACCACTGGCGTATGTAGCAACTGTGATTTCATCCGATATGGCAAGTCCGATATAAAGATGTTGTTCAGAACCGGGTCGAGGATTAAGCCCTATAATACATCTGCCGAAATACTGTATATGTTTGAACTCGCTTCTCTATGTATAACTTGGAAGTAACGAGGTACAACTCTATGAGAAGTTTACCTTGCCTTGGCCAATAAAGTTGGAAATGAACAAATGAAAATTATTTTTGAACTAATACAAATAAAAATGAAATGAAATCGATTAATATGAATCGAAAAGTATCTGATACATTCCACTGATTCATTTATTTCACAATTCCTGTGGGCTCTATTTTAAATGTCAAATTTTTACTTTTGTGACGTGACGGAGGACGTATACGACTGAAGATTTGAGTGAGATCGTAGCGTTTTGGCAAATAAAACATTTTGTGGATTGATTACATTTCACATGATAGAAATTGCACAAAATTGGAAAACAGAGCATTATCACACGGGCATTGTGACTTAATAAAGCTCTCTCGCAGAATGGGAAAGGCGAAAAAAGGCAAGAAGAACATTGCTGCTGAGGACGGGTGAGTTCCCTTAGCATATGTTATCGGGTATCGTTTGCCAGAAAATTGTAGATAGTCTGTTTCATTACCGTGTGTTACAGCGACAGCGATGTGGAGACCACTAACATCGAGGCCGTAAAGCCGGTCAAAGCAAAGGGAAAGAAGTGAGTATACTTTTTAGGTTATGTTCATACCGATTGTCCAACGCGACTAATACACGAATTATTATTACAAAACAATAAACGTGGATGTGTCATTTAACAGAGAAGATATAAATGTGTTCTATCAGTCATTCATATTAATTCAGTAGGCGTTTTATGTTTAAAAGCTTATTACAATCATGTCAGTCAGAATGTAATGTTCATGTTGCGGTTTCTCTGCTACTAAGCCTGGAGAAAAGATTATTAAGTTTAAAACTCCTTTTTGAAACATGTTTCTCAATGATAATTACAGAGTTGTCCATAAATGTTTTAAAATTAGTGTCTCAATCTTTTACAGTCTATTTTACTCTATATACGTTAAATGTAATTTTTTACCCTCTATTTAGAGGTGACTTTATTCTAGTAGGACACATTGGTTGATGAAGACTGACATGTTTGTCCAACATAGGCACTACCAAAAAAATTAAATTTCATAGATTAAAATCTCAGATCTATTCAATACATAATTATTGCAGAATAGTGGACTCTGAAGATAGTGATGAGGAGAAACCAAAAACCAAGGGCAAGCAAAAGAAATCAATTGATGAAGATGTAAAGGAAGTCACAAAGAACGTTAAAAATGTTTCAATTTCGAATAAATCTCATAAGAAGAAGGTTGTTGATAGTGAAGGTAACACAAATTTCTTATCAATGAAATGAATAGGTCTCTTTAAATACTTCAGCAAAGAAACTGATATTGGCATTTAGAAATGTAAACAATTCTTTGAATTATGTTTATTTTCCCATTACAAGAGTAGGTATAATATGGCTAAGTTATGAATTTTTAATTAATTCCACAATTGTAGCAATTTTAGAATATTATTATTTGCATTCCAGATGAGTCGGAAGATGAGCCAGAGGAAAAACCTAAAAAAGGCAAAAAGAAAGAGAATAAAAGTGCTTTTTCATTCTTAGAGGTTGAAGACAGTGGAGATGAAGTACCTGAGGCACCACCATCATCAGATGATGAACTAGTGCAAATACCACAAAAGAAGGGTGGACAGGAGAAGAAAGAACCTGCAGGGAAAAAAGGCAAAAAGGCAAAAAGAAAGAAAGATGACAGTGATGAAGATATTGAAAAAGTTTTGGCTGAACTTGAAATGGAATATGCTGGTGTAAAAAAAGAACCTACTCCTGCCCCTGAAACAGAAAAACCAGAGGAGACAGTAGAAGAAAAACCTAAACCAGAAAAAAAGAAAAAAGGTAAAAAGGAGGAACCTAAACCTGAATCTGAGAAAGAAGCTGAAGAAAAAGATGCTAGTGATAACGAAAACGATATTTCAATTAAAACTGCTGCACAAAAGAAAAAAGAAAAAAAAGAAAGGGAAAAATTAAAAAAGCAAGAATCTAAGAAAAAAGAAAAAGAACAGGAAACAAAAAAGGGTTCAGAAGATAAACCTAAAGTAGAGAAAGTTGAAAGTAAAACTACAGAGGAGTCTAAAGAAGATTCAAAGCTACCTTCTGAAGAAAAAGAGGAAAAATTAGGGGAGGATGTAGGTGATACACCAGTTACTGAAGGAAAGAAAAAGAAAAAGGGTAAGAAAGGTGAAGAAGAAAAAGAAGAGAAAGCTAAGAAAGGGCCAACTAAAAAGACAATAGCGGCTATGCAAGAAGCATTGAAAAAAGTGAAAGAAGAGGAAGAACGTTTAAAAAAAGAGGAAGAAGAGAGGATAAAGCAGGAAGAAGAGAGAGAACAGCAAAGACTAGAAGCAATTAGATTAGAAAAGGAACGGAAAGAAAGGAAAAAGCAGAAAGAAAAGGAAAGGAAGGAAAGGCTAAAAGCAGAGGGTAAACTCCTGACCCCCAAGCAAAAAGCGGAGAAAGCTCGAGCGCAAGCTTTATTAGAGTCACTTAAAGCGCAAGGTGTGGAAATAGGCAGTGCTGAAAAGAAACCTGTTCGACCAGGAACAAGAGTAAAGCCTAGCAAACTAAAAACTCAAATGTCACAGGAAGCTCCAGAAACGCCTGTTGAGGAAAAGAAGATTCAGTTTCAACTTGACATAAAGGTAAGGAAATTCTTAATAAAATTAATATGTGTGTTAACTTCTGTAAATATGTATAATTTAATAATGATATTGTTTTATAGGAGGATCAAAAACCTACCGTTGAAAAACAAGAGCCTGAAAATGAATTGGTAAAGGATTCATGGGATGCTGAATCATCCGAGGAGGAACCTGAGCCTCCGAAACCGGACCCTGCGACGCCGACGCCCGTTTCTGCTAAAGGGAAAGAATCCACTGCCCGGCCAAGTAAAGCTAAAGAGGTATTTTTTCTTATATTTAGCGTTTTTTTCAATATAAATAATCAAAGTGCTTTAAATATTTCTTCTTTGTTACAAAAAAGCGTCTGGTCACTATCGTATTTATTTTAAACCTGCTGTACCGGCCATACCGCTGAAAACGTGTGAAGTCCCCAAAGCCGTAACCTTTTAGAAGAGACCCATGTCTGGCAATGGGACTTTAGAAAATTGTGGGAGCAGAATCATTCGTTAAAGTTTTATCACAATTAGAATAATAATGAAATACATACGGGACAAACATACATTAATTTTTACCCATTTTATGGGACACAGGGAAAGTATTTAACTTACTATAAATTAAGTCTAATTAACTCTAAATTAAGTAACTGCCTCTGTGGCCGAATGGTTACCATCTCGGACTGCCACGCAGAGGTCCCAGACTTGATTCCCAGGCCGGGAGAAATATTTGTAAGGCCTACACCTTCTCTCGTAATTTGGGTATAATTTGTGGTTGTTTATGTGTGTGTCCATGGCACCCGCGACACAGGATTTTCCCTAGTGCGGGGCTGTGTAGAGTGTGTGCGTTATTATTATTATTATTATTTTGAATATTGTAGATTTATTTTTATTATAGTTTTTAAAGAAAGTAATACTGTATTCAAAGAACTTTTTGACTCATCTGGGAATTGAACTGACCAAATGTAAAAAAAATCCTGTATTCTATGATGCCAATCAAAAGGGTCAATTATAAGAATTAATTCCTTTTAAATAATGTAATATCTTACAGTAACAATTGTGCACAGGGTTGTTTTTAAATTACTAACAACCTTGCAATATGGTCCCATTACTAACATCATAAACACCTTTAGTGCCATGACTTTTAGGACCGTATTCCAGAACTCTACTCAATGCTCAAGTCAGGACTTGAGTAGACTTGAGTATGATTTTAAGCACTGGAAATACGACCCTAATGGCAAGGACTTGAGTATGATTTTCAGTGCTTTAAATCATACTCAAGTCCTGACTTGAGCATTGAGTAGAGTTCTGGAATACGACTCTTAATTTAATTTATCAGCTTTTACTTTTATACAAAAATAAAAAAAATAAATCAATTGCTCTAAACAACGATAACTCTGAGTTAGCCATGGACCTTGAACGTCAATGTCATTAGCAAATGAAAGAGGTAGCAATAGCGTAAGTAAACAGCTGGAGTGAGGGGAGGGTGGTTGACCTATTTACCTGTGCGATCTAGTCGTTCCCTGTGAGGAGCCCGCTGCGAATATATGCTATATGTGATGATAATGTGTTCGAAGCTTGCCTTGAATATCTAAGATGGGTCCCTAACGTATCCACACTACACTAAGCCATGTAACAATGTTATCCGCCACAGCGATTACGAGCTCACGGGCAATTCCAGTCTAGATCCAATGATAGTAGTCGTTTACCGAGAGCCCTCAAACATACGATTTGTTCTTGTTATTTTTTTAAATATAGCCAAACCTAACATGGTTAATGTGGATTCAGTGTACAAGCTGTAAACCTCAGATTACAAAACATAGGCAGATGGAGCACGCTGAACACGAAAGTCAAGCTACCAAAGCAAATACAAATTTAAAAGCGAATACAAACGCGAGTCAATACTAAGCTCAGCGTCGCTATGTTTGCACATCACGAGTGATTAGTTATTTTACGTTTAATAAGATATATATTTTAGATCTTGTATCTTTAAACATTGTAAAAGTTGTCCCAAAAAACTAAAAAAAAAAGGAGGAATGTCTATTCACAGGGAACTATAGTTAATTTAACTGTTTTGTAATTTATTTTTATATTATACCTGATATTTTTTGAGATTTACTCCGAACACAAATCCTCGACATAAATTCGTATGTGTTGCCAGTTTATATCGAAATGAGTTTCCTTAAATTATGTAAATATGCATGGGTGATAGGAGCATCGAATAATTTATAGTTTTGTATAGAAATTAAATAATGCATGCATAAACACACAGAATGGTCCAATTACAGCGATCCAAAATTGTTTTTAGGTGCCTCAGATTTATCTAAATTATCCTCAAACCAACCTTTAATCGCCATAATGTAGCTGCATAAAAGAAAATGTTCAAAAACAGCTAAAATTTTGGCCTATATACACAGAGAACTTTCATAGTTATGTGCATATGTCATAAACAGAGTTATTTTGTAAGAAAGCGTGTCAATAAAATAAAAAAAGATTATAATGTATGTACATGGCTTCACACAAATTAGAACGATCAATGCTATGGAATTGATTGCAAAGATAATTTAATAAAAATTTTAATAGAAAAGTATTTCATGGTGAGATTGCGCTACATATCAAAATTAGAAACGATGTATAGACGCGAAAAGGTGTATTATAAAAAATGTGTACAAAATAAAGCTTATTAAGATATTATGTAACTGTGATTGTAATAAATATTTTGAACTATCCAAGTGTTCCAATTTAAAATATCTTAATCAAATATTCTTTCATCTGTGTGACGTAAATCAAATAATAAAAATTAAATATTGACTTATATTGCATATAATTTGTTTCATATCTTAATACCACTTAAGTACCTATATTGCAAAATAACATTTCCAGTTTGTAACAGTATTATAGAAAGGAACAGAAACGGGACTTTTTCGCAGCATCTGGCAATCTTAGTTCGTTTTTTGCGAATGCTCCATCTGCCTATTGTTTTGTAATCTGACCTGTAAACTTTTATCAATTGAAAACAAAAGTACAATTTATGAAGAAATGTTTTTTTTTGTAACATTAAGTGACGGGACGAACTAGTCGTGCGCCTGATGGTACGCGACACGCTTGTCCATAACAGTTACAGTGCCAATCAAAGCTTTAAATTGCGAAGATCTGAGGAGCACTACCATTGCGCCCGTCACCCTGAGACGTAAGTTGACAAGTCCCATATGCCTGTAATTTCACCAGCACCCTTACCCGTCAAAACCGAAACACAGTAATGCTGATATTACTGCTTGGCGGCAGAAGTAGGTAAGGTGGCAGTACTTCTCTGCACGAACACTTTCACAAAGAACTCTACTGCTACTAAAATGTCCTAGTTATTTATCTGCACTTCGTGCTGTTAACGATCATTTCGTATTAGTAATTGATAAATTTCATTCCAAATGACGCGCGGATCTCGTAGCGATAAAATCCGCCACTAACATATTTTTATGAATTAGGACGCAGGCGGGAGAACGCTTCACGGCTATATATATTGTTACTTCATTCCAAATACTAATGTCAGATCGTATGTGTGTACGTGTTGATTATAGATAAATCTAACTTAAAAGTTGATTATTGATGTTAGGAATATAGTTCTGCGAGGTTGTTAGTTTACAAATGACCCTGTATATGAATTAAAGTTAGTTAGATACTTTCATTTTATTGTAAGAATACATTTAGGGTTCATTTTTAAAGCTTCCCATATGTGACTGGTTATGATGGGTGCAGACGATATTATCTGTACAAAAACAAGCCAGGTGCAGTGCGGGGCTATGTGTGGCCAAATGGAGTCCCTCTTTCACGAGTCCAGAAACACAGAGATTTTGAAATATCAAACCTTAGAGTTGTTTTGGCTACTGTAATCCATTCAATGTCAACGGTTTCTTAAACAAGGCTTTGTTATGTGCACGACACAACGAGAATGAGTGCACTTCCAAGGTCAAGAAATGTTTTGTATCAGTGCCCACATTGTTGAACTATGCTACTGTTAAGCTATTTTGTAGTAATTTTGTAGTAAAGTTTTTCGTAGCACTAAAGCTCCTTATGAAAGAAGGTCATCCGGAGTCTAGAGAAGTACTGCCACCTTTGCCACCACCTTGGCTGTATCTATTATGAACTTTTATTATTTATAATTGTATATTAAATTAATTTTTAGGATGACGAAGAAAGTTCTTCAGAGGAGGAAGATAGCTCCGAGGACGAATCAAGTTCAGAAGAAGATTCTGAAGATGATCAGATGACCGATGCACAAAAGAAAAGGGAGATTATTCTTAAGAGATTAGAGGTATTCAATGTACTACATTAGAAAAAGAAGTAATAATATAACTGATAAAGAAATTACATATCAAAGTTTACTAATCAAATTTTTATTACATTCGTTTTTAAGAGAAAATAAATGTATCCACAGAAACGTAAAGAAGAGAATGAAGCTAACAAAACAAATAACCCATTACGCGCCGCCGTCGTGTGTGTGTTAGGCCACGTGGACACAGGCAAGACCAAGATCTTGGACAAACTGCGCCGCACCAACGTGCAGGACGGGGAAGCCGGAGGCATCACGCAGCAGATCGGTGCTACTAATGTCCCCATTGAGAACATCAAGGAACAGACTAAACACGTGAAGGGGGTGAGTTCTTGTCGTTATTATTATATAAAATTATTTGAATTCGTTCTGTAAATGTAACTACATTTGTAAAACCACCCAAGAAAAACAAACAGACAAGAGAAAAGAAAAACGTAATAATATGAATCGCTAAGAAATTATAAATTTTGCAAGTGTCACAACCAGCCAGAAACCATTCAGCACATTGCTGCTACACTCGAAAAGAAAAATATATAAGCTCGCGCGAATATGCTCAGCTGTGAAAATTTTTAAAAATAACAAAAAAATAAATACTAGAACTGGTCTAGGAAATCGACATTCCACCTATGTTACTACATAAGAATTATAATTATTACTTATTGACCTACCAACAAATGGGCGTCGGGTCTAATACAAAAACCACGAAAAAAAATGTCCGAAGTTAACCTATACAAACGTAGTGACATGTAATGAAATATACAAAAACTAAAACTGTTAATTTAAATTGTAACGTCATTGCAGTACTGCCTACAACAGTTGCAACAATTTAAGGTCCCAAAAAACACCATATTCAACGTCTACTGAAAAGTTAACAAAATGTACCATATTTAGGTTCGACTGAAAATTACTTGAACACAATAGTAATGGAGCAGCCTTTATTGTAAATATTAATTAATTATCGAGTTCTCTGGATTTCGCGATTGTTACACATAGAAAATGAAACTATTTTTCCGGATTTAAATCGCGTATATTTGTTTTTTCAAACAAACCGACGTTTCGGGCCCTTTACAGGTCCCATGGTCACGGTTGACTGTTTAATGTCGATTAGTTTGAAAAAACAAATATACGCGATTTAAATCCGGAAAAATAGTTTCATTTCCTATATTAATTAATTTTTATGTATATTATTATGCCGAATTTTGTACAAATTCACTTAAAGAAATAATGAAGAGTTGGGCAGATACATACAAACAAATATTGCAAATGTGAAAATAAGCGTGTACTGCAAGAAATGTACCGATGTTTCTACAAAACGTAAACTCAAATGTCCGTAATTCCGAAAACCGATTTATAATAAAACCGTTACCCTTTCAAGTAATTTTGATTCTTTTCACAAATACAAAATTAGATTTTGTTTTGCTTATGTTATTCCTAAAAAAAAATACATTTGACATTATGAAAATTCGAGCTAACGTTATTTCGGGTAAATGTATTTTCTGACTTCCGATAGGTAATCCCAAGCCGTAAAACGAGTACAACACTATATTGTTAATTATCAACATTTTAAAAAACAAAGCAACTCTATAGTTTCTTTGTTCTAAATATTTCAATCGCTTGTGGTTCGAACAATTGAAAATGACCAAGAAGTTTATATAAGCTTCTTGAAATTGACGTAGTGGGTCTCTTTCCATCTTTTGCGCGAAAAAAGACAGTTGGCTATTTGATTATTTTGTTTGCTTTTGTAATTTATATTTACGATTCATTTACATATAAATTAAATATTAAACAACTGTACAAAATAACACTTTTAAATGATAACACAATACATTGCTTTAGTGAAAATATGATACAAAATCCTGTTTTCACACTTTACTGCAGTAATTTTTACAAGTTATTATTATATGGTACTGCATGATTGACAACCGCGCTGTCAGTCAAACAATCGAAGACTGTTGCACGATTGACGCTTTGTATTCGATTTTAATCGAAAACGAAATCGAAATCGTCGTCGTTCAGCTATTGACCGCTAGATGGCAGCACATTGATTGACATTTCAATATAAAAACACAACGTCTTAACTTGCAGTAATACGTAATGAACTTTCAACGATATGGCAACCGAGTAAAGTTTAAATTATATTAACAGTCCAGAATTTATTACTTCTTAAATTGGAAACTACGACCAATTTTTATCAAGATTTCAGTGTTCCAAATTATAAATGTGTGAGTATTGGCGGCAGTGGTTCTTATATTAATCGAGACTGGATACGAACCAGTGCCTTCAGCATACCGTGCCTAATCGAACTAGTTTTTTTTAGTGTCTGATCTTTGTATTAATAATTGTAACAAACCTGCGGAGTAATTTCATAAAAAAAAAATAGAATATGATACTAAAGTATCGTGATACTAGATCAACTGAACATTACGATATATATTAACATTTGAAATGTACTCGTGCAGGTGAACGAAATTGCGTTCAAGTTACCAGGTCTGCTGATCATCGATACGCCTGGCCACGAGTCCTTCAGCAATTTGAGGAGCAGAGGTTCTTCACTTTGTGACATTGCCATTCTCGTAAGTATCCACGTTTTGATAGCCACATGGGACATTCAAACTAATCCATTGTAATAATGTGATTTGCGAAGCCTTGTAGTTTAAAATTATGTACATACAGTATGAAATTTTTATGTATTTTTTATGATTTCAAGTGATGGGTCGTGTAAGTTAATACTCAATACTTTATAGCTTACCATATATACACAAAGCGGTAGGTAGCTTAAATTAAGATCGTTATCCTTTTGTACACCCTTCCCTTCAAAAGCGGAACGCAGCAATGTTACTGCTTGGCGGCAGAAATAGGTATAGTGGCAGTAATTTTCCTAATGAGCTGTACTAAAATAATATAGTACATTACGAACGAGAGTCTACTAGAAGCCTGAAGTCGAAGACTGACGGCTTTCGGAGTGGAGGTTCGTAATTCCAGTACCGCTCGTGAAATGTACAATGTTTTCCATCACACTTGGCACAGGGTAGTAAATAAGAAATGACTAAGGAGAGTTTGTTAGAAGCCCGGAGCCGAAGGCTGAGGGCTTTAATAATTCGAGTTTGTAATTTTTACCGCCCGTGCTACAATGTTTTTCATCACATTTGCTTGATTTTTTTTTCTTGTATGATTAAATATCGCTTCACAACACAACATTTACGGATTTTGCAAATGGAGTGTTTTTTTTAAAGAGTTTGCCAGCTATTCTTCCATAGATAATAACAACTTGAAGTAAAATGTTATAAAAGGCAGGCAGGCGCATGCAGCCACAATGTATTAGCTATAAAATAAATAATTTCTAAAAATACTACATAATGTGAATAAATGTGAATTCAACACAAAAGAAATTTAGTGAAATATAGTTAAATTTTTTTTTACTTCAAGTGCATGCGGAATATACATTCAGATTTTTCAATTATAAACACTTTTTGCTTAATCTTGACGTACAAAACTCATAGGGCAATAATGTAATGAATAAGCTCATGGGCATAATTTAGGACATTACGGTTGACGTTGCCTGCAAGTCATGACATTGTTTACGAGCAAGTGTGACGAAAATAGTAGATTCTACAACAAGTGCATAATAATAATAATAATAATAATAAATCATTTATTTGGACATCTATGGCCCACTTGTTAGTAATACAAAAAGATACAGAACATTTAAACTTAAAGCTATTGTTAGTAGGTACAATTTACGGGACAATACATTGGCAAACACAAGAACACGTATATGCAACTTACTGCTTGAGGCGCCGATAACCTCATGATCTCACCAGAACCTGGATAAAATGTTGAAGCATCGGCGCATCAAGCTTAGCCGCAAACATTTTCAGAATGCTGTTAGGACTAGAACGCAGCCTCGAGAGTAGTGACGCCTTTTTGTTTCGCATCACAGCAAAAAAGTCATCTACTCCCGCTAGAGCAAACATCGAGGATGCGCTACAATGCCGTGGTAGTCCCATCAGCATTCTGAAACCGTTATTATATTGAACACGCAGGGCGCTGAGTGCCTTCTGGGTATAGTTCACCCACAGACCACCCGTGTAGAAGGATTGACAGTAAGCCTTGAATAATGTAATTTTGGCTTCCTCACTCCAACGGGCAAATCTGTGTGCCAACATGTTACATCTGGCAGCCAACGCCCTACGTTCTCGATCAATATCAATTTGATCTTTGAGATCACCCGTCAGGTAATTTCCTAGATATTTAAATTTATCTACCCTTTTCAGGGGCAACCCGTTCAGACTTATCTTTGCATAAAACGCGTCATTTTACTTGAGACGAGTATACTTAAGTCGAGAGTAAAATGGGTTTTATGAACGAGTTATACACTCTGCTTTTCACTTCAATTGCGAGGAAATTAAACATCAATATTACAAATAAACGATTATTTAATTAAAATTGAATGTAAAATTACAACAATTAGACATGTTTAATGTGATGGTTTTTTATTTTATGCAGCCTACACCCAGCGTAAATACGGACTTTACGAGCATTAGAAGTGAAAACGTATTTTATTCCCTTTGCAGGTGGTAGATATAATGCATGGTTTAGAACAGCAGACTATTGAATCAATCAACCTTCTAAAGGCGAAAAAGACACCGTTCTTAGTGGCTTTGAACAAGATCGATCGTCTTTATGACTGGCAGAGCGCTCAACGTAAAGATATCAGAGACATACTCAAGATGCAGGCGCCTAATACGCAGCTGGAATTTGAGAAGCGTTGCAAGGATGTTGTTCTTCAGTTTTCTGAACAGGTATTTAATAAGCACAGTCAAGTTGCGTAGCTTTTTATACTTTTCTTAGGTTTTTGCAGACATTAAAATAAAATAGTATTGGTCATAATTGGTTCTTTATACAATAAACCGACTACAAAATATTGTTGTGTTGCATCCATTTGCCAAGTTTTATTGAAATCGGTTACTGGAAAGTGAGTGAAACCGGATTCATTCCCTAGTTTGCCACACTTGCAGGTGGAATATTTTCTTCAAATTTAAATGGGAGCAATACTGAGATCTTTCCAACAAAAAAGAATCATCAAAATCGGTTCACAAATTTAAAAAACCTTATATATTTAAAAAACTTACATACAAAAAATACAGTTGAATTGAGAACCTCCTCTTTTTTGAAGTCGGTTAAAAATAGTATTTTATTGATTTATGCATTGACTTACAAATAAATGGACGACGACGGGTCTAATACAAAAACCACGAAAAAAAAGTCCCAAGTCAACCTATTCGAAATTTAAATTGTAATGTCATCGCAGTATCGCGCTGTCAGTAGAACAAATGAAGACTAAAGCGGAGTTTGGCGCTCTGTATTCGATTTTAGCGCCTTACAAGTGCGGACACTTTTTAGCGCGGACCCGACGTCCATATAATTGTAAGTCAATGGATTTATGAGTATCTTTTCATATCCAAATTTAGAACAATTTAATTAAGGGGGTCAAAGTTACTCTGATTCATGTTTTTTTTATGAGATCAAGTAACGGGACGAACAAGTCACGCACCTGGTGGTTAGTGACACGCCTGTCTATAACAGTTGTAGTACCGCTCAGATCTCAAAGACCTGAGGGGTACTGCCAATGCGCCCGTCACCTTGAGATATAAGTTGACATCTCAAGTGCCTGTAATTTCACCAGCACCCTTACCCTTTAATACCGGAACGCAGTAACGCTCATATTACTGCTTGGCGCTGAAATAGGTAAGGTGGCATTACTTCCCTGGACGAACTCTTGCACAAGGAGTTCTACTGCTTGGGTATCTTTGAATCTGAGTTATTTTTATTAGCAAAAACCCTTCTTCATTTACAATTTAACTTACTGGGATAAAACTCGTATTGTGTTCAAAGAACTAACCATTAACCCCATTTGAATTGCAGGGCCTGAACGCCGCGCTGTTCTACGAGAATCCAGACCCGCGTTCATACGTTTCGCTGGTTCCTACGTCGGCTGTGACGGGCGAGGGCATGGGCAATCTGCTCGCCATGATTGTGCAGGCATGCGAGGGACCGCTGCACAAGAGGCTAGTCTTCTCAAACCAGCTGCAGGCCACCGTGCTCGAGGTATATATACCCTTTGCTATATTCGTACAGTACTACTTCTTTCTTTAATATCTTTCGGCAATTGTCGTGTTTCGGATTTCTATCCCCTTTGCAGTTATTTGCTGACCGCACGCACTTTATCGACTTGGAAGCAGACAGAGTAGCTACTACTATTTATTTTGTATATGTTTTTGAAGGTCAGATAATATATTCAAAATTAAATATTAAATCATGAAAACCACTCCAATTTATTTGTAGGATCACGTAACTTCATGTGTCCCAAAGTTATTGCTCGTGTGGCGAACGAGCAATAACTTTGGGACACATCAAAGTGAAGTGTAATCAAACACACGTGTACTCCAAATTGAAAAACCACATGATTAGCCTTAGGGGTGATCAGGTGGTAATTTATGAGTAGGGATTTAAAACGCGGGAAATAGCACGATATCAGAGTTGCCATTGTATGTATCGAAATTATATTAAACTAACAAAAAAATATACGAATCCTGACATAAGCAAAAAAAGACTAAGATTTTCTTTTCGTTTATATAAAAAATAACAATGTTTGAACTAAATAAAGTGTTTAATTTAATTAGTTTGTATTTTTGTTAACTCGCTTTGGTAACATACCAAGTCAAGAATTGAATGTTTATATAAAAAGTTTTACAGCTCTACATAGTTCACACGAGAACCAAAACAAAACAATAATGAAGTTCCTAATCATCCAGTACTTACATAACAAAAAAAATGCCTAAATTGGACTTGCAATTTTTTAAGTCGTGACCGGTTGAAAATTTATATGCATCGCTAGTTTCTTTCTTGAAAACGGAATTAAATGATATATGCAGGGTTGCCGATTTTCGTAAAATTTTAAATAGTCATGTAGTTGTTGTCGACAGTGTTATCGGTAAATTGCGAAAGTAGTTAAAATTTTGCCAAAAATATCTGGATTGGGAATGTTACGACGTTGTAATGATGACTAATTGTGTTGTTACCTTCTTCATTATTATTTTAACAGCTGGCCTACTAGTATCGAAATCAATTTTTATCATATACATTTCAACAAGAACAGCCGGATTCGATTATCTATATTGAATTAAAATAAAAAACTTGAAAAGATGTTTCTTGTATATTTAATACACATAATTCCAAATGTAGTGTCCGTAAATAAACATATTTCGAATGATCTTACAAAAATTGTCAATTCAAATGAACCTGTGTCCAGTAGTTGGACGAATAATGGATCGATAATGATTCAAATGAAACAAGTTTGGTTATTTATTCCATAAGTGTACCTAACATTCAGTCGATAATATATTATAGAGATATTTATCAACTGCAATCACTAGCTATTTGCAAGTGGGCAACACTTGTACATTAAACTGTCATTTTACTCCATCTTCAAAAAAGACAGGCTAAAAAAATACGTGTCAGTGGTACGAATTTACGTTAAATTCATGCTACTTATTAAAAGTATAATAAGAAATGTGTAACATATCCGCATGCTAGGTTTTGGTGATATGTCAGTTCTAACATAATATACTATGAAACGTCATTGTTAGTTTTTCAACAAATAAATATGTTGTCACAAGTTGACCGATGTAGAGACAATGTGGTGAAATGGGGAAGTACAAAACTATTGTGCTTGTGGATCCCCCACACAAAGTATGTCTCACTCGCTATGTACTGTGTCCGACCAGCTGCACTCGTGGCTGCTTACTTGGTCAAAGCCAAAGAAATTAACATTGGTTTATGGAGTCGATAAGCAGAAGAAGAATATGTTGTAGTAGCATTACCGCTGCCACCTTACCTATTTCTGCCGCCAAGCAGTAATCTGAGCATTACTGCGTTTCGGTATTAAAGGGTAAGGGTGCTGGTGAAATTACAGGCACATGAGACTTGTCAACTTATATCTCAAGGTGGCGGGCGCAGTGCTAGTAGTGATTTAAAGCTCTGAGTGGCACTGCAACTGTTATGGACAGGCGTGTCGCTTACCATCAGGCGTCTCGTCACTTGGTATTAGTGAAAATAAAAAATGGAGTGTCGCGTCCGCAGGTGAAGGCAATCCCGGGCCTGGGCACGACCATCGACACGATCCTGATCAACGGCACGCTGCGCGAGGGAGACACCGTGGTGCTGGCCGGCACCGACGGGCCCATCGTCACGCAGATCCGCAGCCTGCTCATGCCGCAGCCCATGAAGGAGCTGCGCGTCAAGGTATCTCTTGCTTTGTTATTTATTATTCAAATTATTTCTCTTGTATTGTCAACAATTTTAATCTTGAAATCGAAATAATATACATCAAAATATTTCTATTAAGAATCGGTGACTAATTATAAGTGACATAGTATATATCGAGTTCTTAGGTTTTCGCGATTGTTACACATAGGAAATGAAACTATTTTTCCGGATTTAAATCGCATATAATTGTTTTTTCAAACAAACCGGCGTTTCGGGCCCTTTACAGGTCCCATGGTCACGGTTGCTGTAAAGGGAAGATATATATTTGAAAACTTATTCTTACATTAGTACGAAGATAATGTAATTTTAATTGGTTATAATTTATCAAACGAAATTAGACAACAGCAAAAAAGTTTTGGTAAAAAAAATTGACACTTATTTGAATCCAATGAGCTTTTATTATTACTTGTCCTATAAAGCTAGGAATCCTATGAACATCAACTTCTTGGAACAAAATCAAAAAGTTGACAATCTACATATAGGGATGTGACATGTAATTGATACCGACATTATGTTTCATAACTAGCGGAATATTGAACTGTCATATATCCATTTTAAACAAAAAGTAAACAAACCTGTTTGGTTAAAATTCTAAAGCTAATACTTTCACGTATATTTCGAAGATTTCGACTTGATGTCTCGTCTTTTTTTCCAACAATATTCATTTGAATAGCATCATAAAATCGTATTTGAGTAAATGGTAGTCCAAAAGTGAGGTTATTTTTCATCTATACTTCTATGTATTGTCTATGGTTGCATAGTGTTGTACGAAAAAAAACAACATTTGGTTCATTCAATTAAAATTTTTGTAATTGACTAGTAAATCTAAAATTTCAATCGCAATCGAGCGAGTATCTAAGTGTCAGGATTTGACGGAGGATTTAAAATTAAGATTTCGGTAATTTTAAATATATGCTTTTATAGGTTATCTATTTTTATTATTTTCATGTAAGGAAAACTGCTAGTATGACTCAATTGAACAAATCGATTCATTCAATTTATTAATCGATTTGTACTTGGCATTACAATTGGTCGTCACTAAACCGTCTATGGTCGGGTCAGTGACTTGTTTGTTTACTTTTTGTTTAAAATGGATTGAAACAAAGTATAGACATTGCTTTATACTAGCTATAATTAGGGTTAACCACGGAATATATGGAAAAGGCATTTAAAGCAAAATCTTCGAGAACTAGCGTAGCTGACTATAACACGCACACATTTGTTACCAAATACGCATAAGGTTGTACTACACACAAATATTATTGATACGCAAGCTATGTATACTCAGGTGTGTGCGTATACATAGCTACGAGCAACAATCACTGTATTAATGATTTATTGTACTGTCATCGTACTTTCATTAACATACTAGATTTCAAGTCTATCTGATCACTGCAAGGGTTGAATATTAAAACACTCTAATCATAAAAATCTTTATTCTCCCTGAAATATGATATATTTTTTCAACAATTACCTCTTTCTGAACTGACTGATTTTAGAACAGCGTCGATGAGCTTGTCAAGAAAACGAAGATACTTACGAAGAAGCGAATCAGTCGAAAAATAATTGGCAATGCTTTAGAAATTTTTACATTTAGATGTGGTCTATAAATTGCGAAGGCGACTATGTGTTTCATGTCATATATTACCTGATTAACCAAAAGATTTATTTGTTGCGTCGGAATTGCCGCTGCTTTTAGAATATTTCTGTTGTTATTCATAGGTATATAATCTGATGTCCTAAAATGATTATAGCAAATGGTGTTTAGTAGGTACCCAGCTTTTTCTGCCTGTTGCTTCAGCCCATTTCTCCTTGAAAAAGGATCCGGCGGGAAACTAAAAAAAATAACAATACAAAAACTGCAAATGTGAATCATGCCTGTGATAAAACTAAGAACTCAACCGGAGGAAGGTGATGCATAGTAAGCAAATAAGGAGATAGGAATCATATATACGAGGCAAACAAAATCTCCATTCTCATGAAATCTTCATTTGATACTCCACGTGGTAAAATTATCGATACTGTGCCTCTCCTATGTGCCTATCTATATTTCTTTTTGTCTATTAATATATTGTTAGAAATAAAAAAGTAAAACTTAAATTAATTAAAACTAACTATAGTTAACAATACCTGCGCTGTTGTGAGCGTTGGGACCAAAACATTTAAGTAATCAAAATTGTTAGCTTTTACATTCCTGTAAACAATGTATGCTTACACATTGGTAATGCTATAATAAAAAATGTTAACCTAAACCGAAACCGGGTTTTCAAAAAACATACTTTCTACTTATCGATAATTTGATTACAACACGCGGACGCAGTACCAAATACAGCACATCGCTAGTGCAAGCAATTCATTGAGCGTTATTCGAATTGTTCTTTTGACGGCGGCCATGGCCAGCAACAAATGTATATTGTTATTACCGGATCACCACAACATATTCGTGTTTCTAAATATTAATAATGTATTGTTCAAAATATTAGGAAATACAGAATTTCAGTATTTACCCATGAAATAAAATCACTCCCGGAGTATTTTTTAAACTTTGCCTTCTTAAGCAATCACACATAAAACAATCTTGTGCATTTGAATTTGACAACTGACGTGCTCTTGACACTAACGGAAGCGTCAGCTCTTAAGGCCGGCGCAGACTGACGTCGCGGCACGGCACGGCATGCCGCGGCATGTCGAAGTGCGTCGCGGCATGCCGAAGCGCGTTGCGGCATGCCGCGGCACATTCGCTGCGCGCCATTCGCCGAAATCGCCGCCGCACTAGTTTAAAACCTTATTTCATTTAGTTTAATTGTCATAATTCTGTGACCGACGTGACTTGCGGGACGTCTGTGGAATGAAACGGCATGCCACGATGTGCCGCGGCATACCGCGGCGTCCTGCGGCATGCCACGACGTGCCGCGGTATAATTGTATCGAAATAAAGTAATATGAATTCTAACCTCGATGAAATAAGGATAAAAATAATTTGATCAAAAATAAAATCCTTTGCCGTGCCGTGCCATGCCGCGACGTCACTCTGCGCCGGCCTTTATGCTAGTTAACGCGGGTCCCGCCCCCTAACCGATCTGTTACTAGTATTTATTTAGTCTGTGGTATAAACGCTATCTACTTATTCTCAGAACGCATACATCGAGCACAAAGAAGTGGTAGCTGCACAAGGAGTAAAGATTGCCGCCAAGGAGCTGGAGAAAGCCATAGCCGGACTCAACCTTCTCGTTGCACAAAAGCCTGATGAGGTTGACGTGCTCAAGTATGTTTACTTTATTACTTTTTCAAGTCATTTATTTCACATATTACAAACTAAATTCATGTATTACAATATAAAGCATCTGAATTTACTCCGGTGCACTGCCCAGAAACAATCTAGAAATGTTCATTTCTCAAACCTGTACCTCCTCATTCAGCGCCCACACTGCAAACCATTGGGCCACAGGGGCCGTCAGTGATAATAAATTAAACAGTGGAGTTATAATTTAGATTAAAAAAGAAATTAAAAACAAACCGCAGTATAACTGTAAATTGAAACCAAATTACTTATACTCGTAAACCAAACCAAAGATTTCTTTAGGGCAACGTATTTTTGCTTTAGGACTTGTCATCTCGTCCTATGAACGAGTTATATCAATATACAAGAGGCGGCTAAAAAGTAGTCTGTTGCAAGCCATTACGTGCGAAAAGTAAACAAAACGGTTTTGGTTAAAAATGTAAAGCAATCGCTCAATAAATCGAATAAGCAACATTTTCACGTATATCTGACGATTTCGATTTGATATCTCATCACTGTTTCCAATAATATTCATTTGAATAACATTGTAAAGTCGTATTTGAAAAATGATAGTCCAAAAAATGAGGTTATTTTTCAACTATAGAAGAAGAAAAAGAAGTATGACTAGTCTATGGTTGCATAGTGCTGTGCGGAAAAAAAACATTTTTGGTTCATTCAATTAAAGTTTTTGTAATCGATTAGTAAATCTTAAATTTCAATCGCAATCGAACGAGTATCTATGTGTAAGGATTTGAAACAGAATTTAAAATTAAGATTTCGGAAATTTAAAATATGCTATTATAGGTTATGTAAGGAAAACCACTAGTAGTAGATTATATTTTTCTAATTTTATGTATGAAATATCATTACTGGGTATCAAATCACACATTTTTTGTTAGTAATCAGGAGCGTAATCAAAAAATTAATCGTTATTCTAAATGATTCAATGAAGCAAATCGATTCATAAAATTAATTAAACGATATGTTGTTGGCAGTACTATTGGCTATCACTAAACCGTCTATGGTCGGGTCAGTGACTTGTTTGTTTACTTTTTATTTAAAATTGATTGAAACGAAGTAAAAAACGAAGTAAGTCTTTTCGCACATACAATATTAGTTTAGATTTAGATGATAAGTTTTCACCCGCCGGTCGTACAAAAATGTTAGCGAGCGCGTGACGCGCAACGACTTCAATCTATAGACAAGAACATTCACAGCAATTTCATGTTGAATTTTGGCAAAGAGTATCAGTACCGTAGCACCGTGGACAGACGTGACAGTCTATTGGGATTGAGCTAGGTAGGCAGATAATATTGAGTGTTTACCAATGATGTTTATCTATAGTTGGAGAATTAACGTAAAGCCCCTGGCAAAGTCGCTGTTAGTTGCATAGTACACTTCATTTTGCTTTGATCCAGGAGTCCGTCCGCTTACTATTTATAGTTATTATACTATTAAAAAGAAGCAAATTGAGTAAAATTTTGAAGCAAAGCAAGTTGAAATTAATGATGTAATATTATGTACTTTTCCTTACGGAAAGACCAAGTTCTTTAGACCATGTAACGTAGTATTTTTTTATATTTTTCAATTTATATAATGGTAACCATAGCACCTATTTTATTCATTACTACTGTGTTATTGTGTAGTCAGAACACACTGTTGTTTATTTAACCTGTTATTAAAATGGCGGACTGAGCTCAGATAGGTCTTTCGAGAGCTATAGTTGGTACGCGTCAGACGCTAACTAACCACTTCTACTGTATGTATTGTTCTGTGGTTTAACTCAAATACGCTATAGGACGCTAGTACATGGATCGTCGGTGACACGGATGTGTTTAGGGATGCAACATCGGTCATAAAAAACATCGATATATCGATTTTTTTGTCACCATTTCAATGTGTGTATATTGTATATATTGTTGTTGATGTTATAACATCGATGTTTATGAACGACTTATCGATGTTTGAATTTGCATCGCTATATGTGTTGTGCAGGGAGGAGGTTGCGCGCGAGCTGAAGTCGGCGCTGTCGTCCATCAAGCTGTCGGAGCGCGGCGTGTACGTGCAGGCCTCCACTCTGGGCTCCCTCGAGGCGCTGCTGGACTTCCTGCGCGCCAGCAAGATCCCCGTGAGAACTCTATTCCCTCTACCGTGGACTGATAAGTCGGAGGACTGCTAATCAGTAGCAGTACAGCTTCGTTCAGGGCAGTACTACTGTCAGCATTACTGTGTTCCGGTTTTGAAGGGGTGCTGGTGAAATTACAGGCACATGGGACTTGCCAACTTATGTGTCAAGGTGACGGGCGCAGTGGCAGTGCAGTGCAGTTTATTGGAGGTATCGAGATATGAAATGTGTCTGATAGTACGAAAAAAAACTTAAAAATTTAATATTACGTTTATTGATCGTCACGATGCTTTACTACCCAGGTATTAAATTATTTTTTAGTGAAATTAATCCACTATTTTGTTATAATTATTATACTCCGTCCAACCGTTTATTCAGCTTTTGACAGCTCGAATTCTAATTGATTAGTGATGTCCTAATGTGTTTCCGAAAATATTTTTTATAACAATCGATGATATTTAAGAAGTTTTAATTGTGAAAGTGAGCGGGTTCCAAAAAGAAGATATTGTCTGATTGGGATCGTGATATTGCGTTTGACAATTTGTGTACTCAAGAATTAATAATTAATGTTAATGAGGATTTAAGTGAAGATTCCCGTTCATATGGAGAAGAATCCGACGACTCATTGTAATATACAATAAGAATTTATTATAATTATTTATAATTTATTAGACAGGTACCAAAATTTATCAACTTGAATAATCTTCGTTACATAATCTGTTTGTTCGATAAAAATCTGAGCTAAAGAGCACGTCACTTCACTAAAATTAAAAAATAATAGAATACAGGAAGTATTGTATTGTTTTTGTTTGTAGGTCCATAATTACCGAACTTCGGAGGCATGCATATGTCAAAAGTTAAACAAATGGATGGACGGAGTATAATACAAAGATATGGTGAATGAATGTTTTTTTTTTCTGTTCGTTCTTTGTATTAATACTTATAAGTTTATTTTCGGTAAATTTATTATGTTTTGTAAAATGTCATGGAACGAAAGTAGTTGTTTATGATGTAAGTAATGTAGTCGTGTCTCGAACTATCGATTTTCCCGTTGAGAAGCATTGTTCCTCATTCGGCTTTCATCGCTCTGTATTGTGTTGTACTAATTTTATTACATTTTGTGTGTAGTACTCGGCGATCAGGATCGGCCCGGTGGTGAAACGCGACGTGATGAAAGCGTCCGCCATGTTGGAACACGACTCCCAGTATGCTACCATCCTCGCTTTTGATGTGAAGGTACATTATTAATTAGCGTATACTTCTTATCGTATCGATGACGTGCACTATAATGGGCAATTTACAATATAGACAACAATATTTCAATAACAAATATATCAAATACTAATTATCTAGTCGAATTCTTGCAACAAATATTCTTATTCATTTATGTAATGATATGATATTTAGAATGAATTTATATAACTCTTTGGGATACATACTAACATGTTATAATGTTAAAAGCTTCCCAGTTCCAAAAATGGTTTTATTTGCAAACGGATATATAATAATAGTACTTAGCCCATACATAGTCCCGCTTCTGGGCACAAGGCTCCTTTCACAAGGCTTGGGATTTAGTTCCCACGTAGGCCCATTAAATAATATTAAATACCGCTGTCGCTTGCTCTCGAAATAGAATCCTTAAGGTGGTCATTTGGTGGTAGACTTGCAAATAGTCGATCATTAAAATGCCAGTCTTTCGCTAGTAGACAGAACTTATGGGACCGCGTACTCTTAGGCGTCTCTCGCATCAGTCTGTTCATACACACCCATTTGTTCTTATTGCTAATTAGCAATTTCTTCCAAGCAAACTTACGATAAAAATTCAGAGAATATTATCTAATAGAAGTATTTCAAATAAAATTTCTATTGTTTAATTTTGTGTCAACGAAAATCGTGTTATGACAACAGATCGAGCGTGACGCTCAAGAATTAGCAGACAACCTCGGCGTGAAGATCTTCGCGGCGGACATTATCTACCACCTCTTCGATAAGTTCACTGCGTACCGCGAGGAGCTCAAACAGAAGAAGAGAGACGAGTTCAAACACATTGCCGTCTTCCCTTGCAAACTTAAGGTAAATTGTGCAGGGCTTAAACGTTGTCAAGTTTGCAGAAATAAGTTAAATACGTAGTACGTACATACGCGCGCGCACGCCTACACACGCACACACACACGCACACGCACACACACACGCACACGCACGCACGCACCCACGCGCACACACACATACACTCAAGCAATTGCACTTTTTTTTTTACTGCATAATTTTAGCATAATTATTTAAGTTTCTCAGTCTTTATTTTAAATTTTGTCTGACCAACATTCATTATTTTGCCTATACTTAAATGTAGAATGTTATTGATTTTTACCTGTGATTTCCCTTGCTCATGAAGAAGCTGTATTTGTACACGTTGTTCTAAACTAAGTTTGTTTCTTTTAGGCATATTGCAACAATATCACTAAATGTAACTAAACAAAACACCAAAAGCGCACCAGATCACTGGATGTGTACGTAACGAGCGATAGTAGTGAACTGAGAAATAAATACAAAAATGGTAAAATGACAAATTTTATGGCACCAGGTGTTTTATTGCTAGTTGCGATGTGGTGGTCATTGTTTTTAAACCTTTATAGTTGCCGAAAAAATAATCCGTAACAATAGGATCCGTTTTCTGCAATACTTATTGTGCATGTTCGGGATTTTTAGGGTGCTCAATACTTTTGGCCATGGCTGTATGTGCAATGTAAATCATATATATCTCAGTACCTGCGCCACGAAATGATTGCCCAATAAACAAACGCGCCCATAAATTTCCGCTTTAATAAGTTCGAATTGGAATTGAATATGTCAATATTAAGTTCGTTCCTGCTCAACACATATCGTTCAAACTTGTAAACCCTATAAAGTAAACTGTTTTTCCCATATTTAGTCCTAATATTTAAAGAATTGACTGCGCATCAGAAAGAAGATATCAATGTCTATAAATCTGTCCTCGTAATAATGATTAAATATTTTTTTTGTGTCAGGTGCTGCCGCAGTTCGTGTTCAACTCTCGCGACCCAATTGTCGCTGGCGTCATGGTGGAAGCCGGCATTGTCAAGGAAGGCACGCCTATTTGTGTACCTAGCAAAGAGGTCAGTATCTCTTTCTCTTCTTGCCTTCAAATCTACTTAGGACACAGATGTCAATGGAATATGCAAAATTTTAATTAACCTCCTAAAGCTCCGTGTACACACCGCATCGAGTATATAACCAGAAATAAAGACGAAATAAGGGCCCTCCATCCCTGGCAACTCATCTTATATCACTTTTAAATATCAACTCTCGTTTGCGCTGAAATCACAAATTAGAAAGCTGAAATAGTGCAGCGCCAACAACTGTACATTCCAAAAATATTATGTAAATTAATAATAATAATAAAGCACACACTCAACATAGCCCCGCATTAGGGAAACCCTGTGTCGCGGGTGCCATGGACACACAGCCAACCACAAATTACACCCTTACAAATATTTCTCCCGGCCAGGGAATCGAACTTGGGACTTCTGCGCGGCAGTCCAATATGGTAAACGTTCGGCCACATAGGCAGTTAAAATTAAAGAAATATTAAATTTATGGTAATAAAGATAATATCTCTAACAATGGGGGGCTGTTCCATTCGGTGGTGTGGGAAAAACGGCAGAACATCTAATTACGAAACAAACAGAACCACATTTCAAATTACATATTAAAATATGTAATTTGGCAATTTTCGTCCATTATAGCAAAGCTCTAGTTAAACTGGTCGATTTGAAGTGAAACAATTGACGACAGCCGTAAATTGTTTCGAGTTCGGGCTGGCCAATGGGAGCGCAGTTGTCACAGTAATGATTTGGCAGAATAGTTTTAAAACAAATTAAATGACATTTCGTCTCTATTTCTGATTATATTCTCGATGACACACCGTGTAGTATCCGTGTGGAAGACAGGCGTGTTAGTATTTATTAGTAGCAGTAGAGCGCCTTGTGAAAAAGTTTTCCAGTCACCTTACCTAATTCAGCAGCCAAGCAGTAATGCCCACATTACTGCGTTCCGGTTTTGGAGGGTGCTGGTGAAATTACAGGCATATGGGACTTGTCAGCTTTGAGTGATGTGTGTAGAGGCACTGCTCGGAGATTACACCCGTACCTCGCCCGACATTCGTCCGAAACAATGACTGTCAAATAAGTAATACTCGATTAAATTAAATAACGCATGTTGGGAATGAAGCTATGTCAAGTATGAACTTGATATTGTCTTTTTGATTTGGTCGTGTATTACTTATTTGACTGCCAGTAATTGTTTCGGACCACGGAAAAAAAAACAAACAATGGAAATGCCTTAAATCTCGATTACGATGTCGCCAAAACTCACACATTCTTAATTTACAAATTCTTGATGTTGATTGGTCGTAGTTTCAAATTTAAAAAGAAATTCTGGATTGTTAATATAATTTAAATTTTACCCTGTTGGCATTATTACAAGTTTCGACATTTTGTTATTGTATTGGAATTTCAATCAATGCGTTCATTCATTTAGTACTCCAAACAAAAAGCGGTCATATTGCAGGAGTATAATCTTTACTTTAGTTTCTTGTAACAAAAAATATCTTAATTGATGTCATAAAAAATATTGGTTCGGCAGTTCGTGGACCTGGGCGTGGTGACGTCCATCGAGATCAACCACAAGCAGGTGGAGTCGGCCCGCAAGGGCCAGGAGGTGTGCATTAAGATCGAGCCGGTGCCCGGCGAGGCGCCCAAGATGTTCGGCCGCCACTTCGACGAGACTGATATGCTAGTCAGCAAGGTCAGCATCCATATCACTTTACACCACCTGTGTAGCCTTGCAATTTGAAAAGGTTTTAATTCATTATTCATAGCTTATTTTGAAAGAAGGATGGCGACTTCTCGTGTATTTTGTGACCCAGAGTTTTTGACGACGTGCATTAAACATACCTATCAATGCTTGTGATTCATTATCATAGCACCAAAAAAATTAATTCATACATAATACAGCCTGTAGAAACGGGTTGTAAAGTTGATATAGGTTATGTTTATAACATTGTCCTGTGTTTCGATGCAGATGTTTGATCGTAGAAGCAGAAAACAACAAGGTTTCAGTTTGTTCTCAAAAATTGTAAAGAACTTCTTACATATTCCCAAATCCGCCAAATTCTGCCACCTTTATCAAAACGTTAACATGTTCTGTCCCAATGAAAACGAATAAAAATTAAATCTGCCCAAATGGCAGAAATCTGCCACAAATGGTCACACTGTCTCAATCTTAAAGTGACATTGAAATTGGCCTCTTGTCAAAACGTTCCTTTGCTAACTTTCGAATCTCTCATTTAAATATTGTCTAAACATTTTTGTTACATCGTGTTTTATTATTTACTTTACGTCACTATTGTTTAATTGATTTATGTGTGTACTATAAACTAACCAATACTTTAGGTAGGTAAACATTCAATCATGTTTAAAATGAAACGTGTGTAGAAGAACGTTACATAGACTATGGTCGAATTAAATCAATTGTGATGTGTTTTTTCATGTATTCACGACTTCCAAAAATATACAAAAATGGTTAAAAATATGATAACTAGGACTAGCATAATCCATGAACGGCTCTTCGTTGGTTTTATAATTATTGGGTCAGCTTTCGCCATCGTTCTTTAAACTATTTGTTTTAATTCACGTTCATATGTATGGCATTGCCATATGGTTTTTCTTAGATCTACATACACAATTTTTAGACGTGCAGCACTCCGCTCGGGCACACATATTATCATATGTACCTTCGTATATCGGGAAAGTATGTAGTGTCAATTATAACCAATAATCAGAATCGAGGGAGTTAATTTGGGTAAACTAAAGAAGAACGTGGACATTCCCTTCTATAAATCGCGGGACTTCTTGTCCTACTTACATTTGACGATGCGTATTAATTATTGAAATTTAAGTACACTGGCGACAAATTATTCTTTCCTATTAAGTATTTGCTACAAATTATTGTCTCAAAAAATTATATTACACTTGTGTTTACGTACTTTAGGCATGTAAAAAATAAACACGAGACAACCTATATTTTGGAATGTTTAGAAAATAAACAGTAAAATAAAGAAACTTTATACGCATTGATGACGAAATGAGTGTGTCCATACTAAGAAAACGTTTATACTTTAGGCAGATCCCTCAATTCCGATCACTAATTATAACAAATGAAATTTCATTTCGACTTTTTCTAATCTACATCGCGAATATATTTATTTTTTTTTCAAAGAAACCAATGTTTCAAGCCCTTTGTAGGTCAGATAACTGAGATCGTAAAGTTACCAATCAATTATGTCTAACACTAATGCAAACCACCCTAAAAACATACTTAAATTTCCAACCTGTAACAATCGCGAAAACCTAAGAATTGTTTTCTAATACATTTTAAATTTGTTTGTGCATCGGTATTGACAGTCAAAGACTCCATCCAAGTGATGGAACTAATCGTATTAGTGTTCCATGAAACCTCAAGTTTGGATTAGGGAGTCACGACATTTATCAAAGCGGAATCGGCTTGAGTCGGTCAGAAAAAGCTTCACGTCCATGCAATAGCCAAAGAGACTTCGTCGAGATTCATCCCTTAGTTTGCCAACCTTGGAGGTGGAACACCCTCTTTCCATAAAAAAAGAATCTTCAAAGTCTGGTCACAAATCGGAGTCATCGAGTAACATACGTACGAAAAAATACAGTCGAATTGATCCTTTTTTAAAGTCGGTTAAAGAAATCGTGATATTCAATAATAAATATTGCAATAAAATGTATAGTTATGTCTATCAAAATTTAAACATTTTAATGTAAAATAAACAACATCTTGACGACAATCTCACCTGATAATTAAGTAATGATGTGACGCGTTTGTGTCTAGTCATTTAAATTATAGCTAGTCTAGCCCAATTACAGCTTTCGGGAAACACGTATACCGCTATCTTCATAATTATAGAAGCAAAGCGTTTGCACTAATGGGTACATTCTATAAGTAATCTGTTACTTCCTAGGTAACAATAGTTGATGTTTGTTAATTTATAATAACAATTAGTTAATTGGTCACATGGTGACCCATACGCAACATTCGTAAAGTGCAGCGGCCTAAAATATCTCTTCTGGTCAAATGTTATACAAGGTGCTAATAAATTGGCACCGAAAATAATTTTACTATTTTTTCGGTTCTTAAACTGGATCTTTACACTTATTCCATAATCTCGGCTGAGATGGTAGTTTAATTTAGTAGAAAAATGGATATTGTTAAAGTAAAACATTTTTAAAATTTGTAGCGTATTTGGTAAATTACAAGATATTTAAATTAATAAATAGAGCGATTTGCATTAATATTAGACATAACTGGTTGATGACTTTACCATCGCAATCAGCCGTGACCGTGGGACCTCTAAAAAGGCCGTAACGTTGGTTTGTTTGAAAAACAAATAATACACGTGATTTAGATTCGAAAAATTTCATTTCCAATGTGTAGCAATTGCGAAATCTTTACAGCTTGTTATTTGGGTACCGTTAGAGTCAGTTTGCATCAATTTAAAATACAAGTAAAAAGTATTTTCTTTTTTTAAAGTTTTGCTTTCATGTACAAAAAAAAAATTACAATTTTGTGCAAACGTAATCACCCTGTGCATCCAACTAAAATACTGAGAAGTTTAACATCATCTTCTGTCAACACGGCTGTGCTGTGTCATAATCAGTAATCGGAATTGAGGGAGTAAATTTACCTAAAGTATGAACGGTTTTCTTAGTATGAACATTTCGTCATTAATGCATTCTTGTCTTCAATGTGTTTTACTGCTTTTTTTTGGAATGTTTTGAAAAAGAAGCAGTTTGTTTATCTTTGGAATAGGTTGTTTATTTTTAAATGGCTAAAGAATTTAAAACTTAAGTACGTGTATAAACATAACTGAGGTATTATTTTTTGAGACAATACTTCGCTTGCTAAGCAACCCGAAGTGGATCTTGGCCTGCGATACTAAGATACGCCGCTCTTCTGTGCCTCTTCGCAATCGGCTATTCGAAGCTCACACATGTCGTTGTGGACTTGTCGATGCTGCGGTATCTAGGACCCTACCGGCCTTCTGCCAGTCGGTTGCCCCATATAAGCTCTCTTGACTGCACGATCTTCACTCATCCCCTCCACGTGGCCAAGCCAGCAAAGTCGGGCTGGTTTGGTTTCTCCCATGATGATATTTTGAGACAATAATTTGCAGATAATACTTAATAGGAAATATTAATAAGTCGTCAACGTACTCAATAAATAATACGTATGTTCAATTATGGTCAGTTCCGAAAAGTCCCGGAGTTTGTAGAAGGGAATGTCCACATTGTTCTTTGGTTTAGCTAAATTTACATATTTAGAACATAGAAGACGTTTTAATCAGTAAGTAATATTAATAATAAATAGTACCAGACACATATACCAGTTACGTGATCTCAAATTAGGGAATTCACTGTACTGTAAGTACCAGAATAAAGATTAACTCCCGAGCGCTACCCGGAACACTAAGGGTCGTATTCCAGAACTCTACTCAATGCTCAAGTCAGGATTTGAGCAGACTTGAGTATGATTTCAAGCACTGGAAATACGACCCTAATGGTAGGGACTTGAGTATGATTTCGAGTGCTTTAAACCAACATCAAATCCTGACTTGAGCATTGAGTAGAGTTCTAGAATACGACCCTAAGACCAGGAGCGGTATTCTGTAATCGTTGAGACTCGCTATTCGATATTCGTTATGCGGTTTTACCGACGTTATCGATTTTGTCGACAAATGCTATATTCTGCACACTACTTTAACCGATCATAACGACAATTCGGTTTGTTAAGTTTCGTTAAGGTTCGATATTTTTATCCGCTCTTCGAGGGCACCCTGTTTACGTCGGTATTCTTAACGACGCGCTTTCTTGTTACATTTCACTGTTACATATTTGTGTTTTGATCGCTTTAAGATGAAAAAAATCACTTTTTACCCTAAGGTAAGCCAAAATGTTTCGTAATTGAAAGGGATTTGTTCTTGGCTGTGTGTTGTAATTTATTTGTTTATGTCGTGATGCTGCGATTGTAGAGGTTAGCGACGATTCCCTTATAAATTCTCATCTGATCAGATATTTGCCTTAGAGGATGGAAAAAAAATAAATTAAATATTTACAGAACTCCAATTTGCTTACTTGTCTTGATGTATTATTGTATCCGTCATTTTGAAGAAGTATTCAGAAAAAATAAACACAAACAGTATCGTGATTGATCGAGAACCATATCCACGCGTCGGGATGTTCCTATTTCGTATATTTTTCGAAGATGAAACGCTGAAGTTACATCGCTGTCGGTACACGTCGGTTGCAGTAACGATTTTCGTTATCGTGGATTTACAGAATAGCATAATCGGTAAGTTGTCGATGTCAGAGCCATACCTAATCATAACGATAGCGATTACAGAATACCGCTCCAGGACCGATTCGAAAAAAATACCAAAACAGGGGTCTATTCAAGAACCTTACGATAACACGGTTGTCGACCGATTCGATTTGACATCGTACGATTTCTTTTCATTTTTATTCATGACACCCGAATCGAACGTCAAACTGTCGTATTACTCGAACTTCTCGACCGGCAAACGTTATGCAGAACACAGTTATCGAATGAACGTTACCGAACGTCCTATTGGGACAATTTTATTTGTGTAATGCGCCTCAAAATACAAAATTAAAAAGAAAAAGGCAGAGTGAATCTTTGTTGGGACATTAGTTGAAATTTGTGTT